AGCCTGTTAAAAAAGCCAGGCTGCTTTCCTGATGAAGTAATTGCCTGGAGAGATGGACCTTTAGAAGACCACAAAGAAATGGTTGATCAAAGAGGCTATTCACAGAGACTCTCTGGGCAGGAAAACAAATGGGAAAATCCCCTCCTGAGGTGAGAGAGAGTTAGCAGAGACAAAAGCCCAGTTTCAGAAGGGAGGGGCACAACTGTGGTGGGCTTGCAGTTTGGCAAGCAGGAAAGTAGAGGCCAAGTCGAATGTTTGCTGGCAGTTTTTGGATCCAACATGGCAGCCGTGAGAGGAACAGGCAATCTGCTCCTGCCCCTATGAGAGAAGCAAGAGTGTATTGCTGGGAACTTCCTCTATCTAGACTCCGGTTGTAAATATGTGTAAATAAATCATATATGATCAAGATGCCACAGTCTCTTCTGCACCTCATTGTCCCAAAGGAAACACAGACCCTGGGCAAGCACGCCTAGTACCCTTGAAATCTCACACCACTCGCACAGAGTCCTTTGCCCAATCTTGCGTGAAAATAAAGCTGTGCCTCCCCTCCCGGGACCCTCTCCCTAAATCTTTCTCCCCTTTTTCTCCACCATGAGCAAGCACATCTTAGTGGTCCCACCAATATGCATACACCACTTGAAAGAAGTTCTGCAGCACAATCTACCATTCAAGTGAATGAAGCCTTGCAGCACCTTTAAATAATACAGGGATGGCAGGGCCTTTTTGGCCCAAGGGCTGCACTGCTTTGTGGGCGACCTTCCAATTGGGTACAAAAGCAAAAGTGATGTGGGCAATGGATGCAACTCTTACCTTTGTACAGTAGGCTACATTCCAGCCACCAGAGGTTTCCACATAAACAGACCTGCTCCGTGCAGGACAAGCAGATAGGGAATTATAGAGTCAGGACACATTACAAAGCAGGTAAATGCGGAGTACAGAGCAGGGCTGTGTGGGATGCGGCCTGGGAAGGGGTTAGCCTGGAAAGAGTCCTGAGGCATACATAAGAGGCATAGAGGTTGGATCAGGCCACTTGGGCTGAGTTACATTAAAATAAAAGTAAGGTAGCCTGCCAGTTACGGGCCAGTCTTGACAGACTTCTAGGGTTGTGCGCACCGATCATCACTCACAGAGGCCGGGCAGCGCTATCTCAGCACTTCGGTCACGTCGCCACGTGACAAGGCATCTGCGGCAGAGCCGCACCGGAAACGCGTTTACTTCCGCTAGTAAGCGGTCCCTTTTATCTACTGCACCGGAGTGCTTTCGAACTGCTAGGTTGGAAGGCGCGGACTAACACGTAGTGCACCCTGCGGCGGGGATTTCGAACGCCGACCTTTCGATCGGGCATGCAAGCCTAGGCCGCTGAGGCTTTACCCACAGCGCCACCCGCGTCCCACACTAACACTACTGTGGTGTAAAATCTCATGACCCTAATTCCATATGCCTGCTGCAAAAAAAAACAAAAAACAAAAAACCCTCCATCCTCATCTTGCAGAATTTAATCTGAGAAAAAAATGAGGGTGCATAGGGAATGACAAGCAATGCAATAAATTACTATGCCGCACAGCAACACAAGACCCAGTCCAAAGAGTCAGATCCAATCAGAGTGGGTGTGTCACTGGATATGAATGGCAAACTAAGCAAATGCTGCAATAAAATTAACCCTGTAAGGACAACAGTGCTTCCATGGAAGTTTATTAACATTTATGGGGTAATGAAGGAATGCAACCCTGACCTCTATTCTTTGATAAGGTCTTGGGCATGCAGGAAGCATGATTCAAATCCTGCTAGGGTAAAGACTGCATAAAGTCAGCCTATGAGCCAATAACAGCACAAACTCTGTACTGCACACAAGACAGATTTTAAGTTTGAACACCCATAGCTGGGTCAACCAAAGCAATCCCTTCCCTCCTGCCTCGATAGGTTAAATATCCCAATAAGTTTTGCACAATTAAATCCTAGGCATGTTACTCAGAAATGAGTCCCACTGTATTCAACAGTGCTTACTCCCAATAAATGTGCTCAGGATTGCAGTTCTGAAAAGCTCCATCCTAACTCTGTCTACTCAAAAGTAAGTCCTACTGAACTCAATGGGGCTCACACCCAGGTGTGTTTAGGACTGCAGTTTTTGAGGCTCTGTACACATTTAACTGAGGGACGCGGGTAGTGCTGTGGGTTAAACCACAGAGCCTAGGACTTGGCGATCAGAAGGTCAGCAGTTCGAATCCCCACGACGGGATGAGCTCCCGTTGCTCAGTCCCTGCTCCTGCCCACCTAGCAGTTTGAAAGCACGTCAAAGTGCAAGTAGATAAATAGGTACCACTCTGGCGGGAAGGTAAACAGCGTTCCCTTGTGCTGTTCTGGTTCGCCAGAAGCGGCTTAGTCATGCTGGCCACATGACCCGGAAGCTGTACGTTGGCTCCCTCGGCCAATAAAGCGAGATGAGCGCCGCAACCCCGAGTCGGTCACACTGGACCTAATGGTCAGGGGTCCCTTTACCTTTACTTACACATTTAACTCATATCCCCCTACCCCCGCAAAAAAGAACTTCAGGAACTGTAGTTTGTTAAGGGTGCTGGGAATTGTAGCTCTGTTCAAACTGCAGTTCCCAGGATTCATTGGGGACAGGGGGTGTGCTTTAAATGCATGGTGTGTAGCAGCAAACAAGCTGCAAATCTATGACCGGCTGCTGGTGGTATACGCCACTTTGAACTTAAGTGAGGTAAACCCGCAGAAGTTTGGGCTGCCCAGCTGCACTCTTAGGCACGCTTACTTGGGAGTAAGCCGCCCCTCGATTCTCAGGAGCTTCCTTCTGAGAAAGGCACGCGCAGGCTTGGGTTGCAAAGCAGCAGCAGCAGCACCCCCTCCCTCCACCCAACGAGAGCTCCTCCGCAGCTCCCATTCATTGCAAAGAGCTTCCTTGCGCAGGAGAGCTTGCCTCCGGATCGGGCCCCTTGCACTGCACCCTCCGCCGCCCACTTCTCCGCCCCGTGGCCCCACGGCGCCCATTCACCCCTCTCGCTTCCTCTCCTCCCCGCCGCGACTCACCGGCGAGCAGCAACGCGGGGCTGGTGCTGAGCCTCCGAGCCGGGGCGGCCTGGCTGCTGCTGCTGCTATTGGCCCAGGCGGCCTGGGAGCAGCCGACTAAGGCGCGACGGGGCCTGGCCAAGCCGGCTGCACAAGGAGCGGCGGCGGCGGCGGCAGAAGCCGTGCCAGGCCCAACCCGCCGCAGCGCTCGCAAGGCCGCCAGTGCCGCTGCCATGGCGGGGCCGCTGCACAGAGACGCGGCCGGGGCCAGAGGGGACAAGCCGGCGAGGGAGGCGGCGGCGGAGGACAAGGGGGAGGCGGGCCTTTCGGAAGGGGGCCTGGCTTGGCCTGGCCGGCGAGGAGGAGGAGAGTGCGGGGGGGGGGGGACGTGCGGGAAGGGGGTTGCCGCGGCAGCTGCTGCTTGCTTTATTTTAAATAAAAAAATCCTTCCTGTAGCACCTTAAAGACCAACTAAGTTAGTTCTTGGTATAAGCTTTCGTGTGCATGCACACTTCTTCAGATACACACTTTAGGCATTTATTAACCGCCCATCGACCGTGTCCTCTGGGCGGCTTGCAAAAAAGAAAAAGTGGCGTGTTTTTTTAAAAAAAGTAACAGTAAAAAAATTAAGAGCAGTAGCATTTAGCACAAATCACCCCAGAAGGAAGAGCCAACACAAGCAGCTCGTCACCCGTCTAAAAGCTTGCTTCAAGCCGTATAAACACGATTCTGAAAAGATCTTAGGAGTTTTGTTTTTACATTCGCCGGAAACAAGTTGGAGGAGTGCATCCCATAATAAGTGGAGGAGTGGTACTTTTTGCACTTTAGGAGCCCATCGTGACAAGCTCCATAGAGCCCTGTTCCCTCTAATGGGAGTCCCAAAATGCAGATAGCTGTGTGCCGAAGAGCAGTGTGGTGTAGTAGTTGGGACTCCGAACTGGAGGACCAGGGTTCAAATCCCTTCCTCAGCCTTAAAGCTCACTGGATGACCTTGGGCTACTCCGTGTCTCTCAGCTTACCTACATCACAGGTTTGCAGTGGAGGATAAAATGGGGAGGGGGAGAATCATGCACTTAAGGAAAGGTGAAATATAAATGTAATACATGAATAAATAACTAAAAGCATATAGCATAATGGCTAATTTATTAGGAGCAGCTAAAGTGCAATCTAATAATGCATTTTCCTGAGAGTAAACTACATTGCTTACTTCTGATTCCATAGGTTCAGCCATTAAAAACACACACTTTAAATCTTCAGCCAGTTGAAATGCAAACTGTGTGTGCAATCAATACATGTCCTAGCATTATTGTTTGTTTCTTCCTATGCTCTGTGGACACCACTTCCTCAGTTAATGTTTTAGGACAGAGGTGGGGAACCTTGGGCCCAAGGGCCAAACGTGGCTCTCTAGACCTCTCTAATGGCCCTCCCCAGGCCAAAGGCCCATCTAGTCCAGCAACAGTTCTCCCAGTTGTGAACCAGATGCCCCTGGGAAGCTGACAAGCAGGACAATGCAACAGTGCTCACCCCGTCAACTGGTATTCAGAGCAGTACTGCCTCAGAGACTGGAAAGTGAAAGTAATCAATGTGGCTAATAGTCACTGATAGCTTTATTCTCTTTGGATTTGTACAATTTTCTTAAAGCTATCTAAGCTGATAGCCATCTCTACATCTTGTGGGGAGCAAATTCAACCATTCAATGATGTGCTGTGTAAAGAAGTATTATCTTTTGTCCTGAATAATCCAACATTCAGCTTTCTAGTATGGTCCCAAGTTCTAGTACTCAGAGAGGTTTCCTCCTCATCCATTTTCTCCACACCATGAATAATTTTATACATTTCCAAATAAAGCATTTTCTAAGAATAAATTATGAATTGAACTGGTAATGATTTTGTAATTTGTTATAAACAATGAAGCTGAACAATGCTTTGGATTCTTAGCTTTTATTATACTACACTGTGAAATAAGTACAAAATAAAGCAGTATGCATAAGCAAGCATCAGTTCTATAGTTCTGTCAAGCACTCATTTTCACATCTATCAGTACAGAGTTAAGGCCAGTATCTTAAGCACAATTATTGGAGAGCACATCAAGACCTCAGTCAATGGAAGTAATTCTGCTGTCTGCCGCAACATTTCACAAACATGGAAGCCACAATATCTAAAGGTAGCTGCAACAGATGTAAGTTGAAGTGGGTAAGAAGACCAGTTGTTAGTTGCTCATCACAGGTTCTTCTAGTTTCTTGTCAGAGGCTGGTTTATGGTCAGCTTTACATTTTATTCCAAGGAAGCTGCAAATTTTCTTCAGCATTAGGTCAACAATCTCTTCCTCTTCAGAAGCCTAAAAAGCACACAGAGACACACACAATACAGTTTGTATGAGTATAGACATAACAGTGAATTGCATCCTGGGCTTGTGTAGAATTTGTGGTGATGATGATAACTACAGACAGGAAAAAGTAGAACACAAAACAGTCATGTTAAACATTGTAATAGCACACTGCAGTAAACTGTAGTGTGGCCAGGAGAATATGTGAATTTCAGTATGAGTAGATTGTCAGTCAAACTAAACCTGCTGATTAATGTGCATGTGATTAGGCTGCAGACAGATACTGAAAATTACTGCCAAAAGAAAGGAAGACAGGAAAATGTATTGGGAGGGGGGTTATTCTTAGTTCTAGTTCATAGTTAGCAAGCTCAATCACAAGATGAGGTTTGGACAGCACACTGAGCCATACCGTGGTTTAGCTTAGTGCAGGAAGGAGTAAAAAGACTGGGGAGAAGCAAAATGGATTACTGTGTCATGTGAACCAGGCCAGGGCCCTACACTTAATGCTAACACCATGGTTTAGTCTCATGGATGAGTTGTGGAGAGTCCAAGTAAAGAATTGGGCTCGGACTCTCCCCTTTCCGCCTCCTGCACAGCCAGTAGGCAGAGATCTACAGATGTTTGTTCTGTAAGAATTATCTGTTTGTTTTGTTGTATTAACCAGGAATCCTGGCTTTAAACAAACCAGTTACTTAAACAAACCAGTAACACAATCCACAGTTTGAAACTGGCTTGTTCTGAAATTTACCACAGTTAGTTGTATGGCAGGTTTCCTGGTTCATAAAACAGGACAACATTCTTTGAAAGTAATGGGAGGAGTGGAAGGGGAGCAGGCAAGCCTGATGTCCATGTACAGTGGTACCTCGGGTTACAAACACGTCAGGTTACAGACTCTGCTAACCCAGAAGTAGTACCTCAGGTTAAGAACTTTACTTCAGGATAAGAACAGAAATTGTGCGGCCACAGCAGGAGCAGGAGGCCCCCATTAGCTAAAGTTGTACCTCAGGTTAAGAACAGTTTCAGGTTAAGAACGGACCCCCGGAACGAATTAAGTTCTTAACCAGAGGTACCACTGTACGTAGTACTAAACCATGGTTTAGTAGTGTTACATATGAACTCGGCCTGTGCAGGTCCTTGATTAGTTGGATCTCCCAGTATACATATATATGTACAGACCAGGGCAGATGGCATCCTTAAATGTGGAAATTCACATATTACTTCTGTGGACAAACCTGATAATGTTTCTGTTCCTCACTGAAAGCGACAAGGATCACAGAAATGAAGAGATTCAACACCACAAATGTCATAAAAATGATGCAGGAGCCAATTAAGAAGGAGCCCAAGATGGGATTGTAGTCCAAGACCTGAAAGAGACATATATGTTACAATAAGGGATATTGTTATCTTCTTCAGGGAAGAGAACATTATTTTCAGGGACAGTACTTGTGAATTATTTAAACACTTCAGTTTGCTGGTGTCTTGTGTAAGCATCATGTTTGCCCAAATGCACTCTGCCTTAATACTGAAGAGAGTGTTTATTTGTATATTTTGAGGAGAAGTAATGCTTAAGATATGTGTTGCTGTTTTTTTATGTATAAGTTATACTACCGTACTTCAGTGGGAGCAGGGGGTAGCATTATGAAAAGTAAAAAAATGTGTTCCCTCTTGCCTCTCCCATTCGAATGTATCATTGCCTGTGACTTTTGCTCCTCCTTTTCCACCACCCTCACCTGTCCAAAGGTCTCTTCCTGCTTAGTCAACTTTCGTCCTTTCTTCCCCTTTATACCCAGAACTGCTTTTCGAAACCCCAAAGGTGATTTCACCTTTATTGCTTTGCTCAAAACCCACCTTTTCATGAAGCCTTTGGTAAACCACTTACAGTAGTCCCAATACCCATCCACAGCCTTTCCCAGCTTGTTGCCCTCCTGATGTTTCGGACTCCCATAATTGCTGACCATCAGCCATGCTGGCTGGGGATGATGGGAGATGGGAATCAAACAAGGTTGAGGAAGGTTGTCTTATGATAACTAGGGATGGGTGAATCTGTACATTTAATTTTCTCTCCGTTTCTCATTTTTCTCTTCCTAAGTTCAGTTCTCCACATTTCGCATTACAGTGGTACCTCGGGTTACATACACTTCAGGTTACAGACTCCGATAGCCCAGAAATAGTACCTCGGGTTAAGAACTTTGCTTCAGGATGAGAACAGAAATTGTGCGGCGGCGGCACAGCAGAAGGGGGAGGCCCCATTAGCTAAAGTGGTGCTTCAGGTTAAGAACAGTTTCAGGTTAAGAACGGACCTCCAGAACGAATTAAGTTCTTAACCCAAGGTACCACTGTAGTTTGAATTAAAAATAAAAATCCTGAAAATTCACCAGCATTTTACTGCATTTCCCCCCATAATAGACACATGTTTATATGCAGTTTCTCCCTAATATACACATGTTTGCAAGGCAATGTTCCCTAATATGATACATTTTTGAATGTTACTTTTGCTGATAGATGCATGGCCATGCACACTTTACTCTAGCATTTGCTTTGTGTACAAATTTATTGGCTGGAGAACGGCATTGCAAAATATAGATAGTTTAAGATGGGGTTGGCAAAACTATGTGTGTGGATGGTGCTAAATGAATAAGACAACAGATTTGTGGTTCATTTCATTTAATTCAACCTTAGTTACAAGGAAAAAAAACCTCTGAAGGATAAACCATACCTCTTCATAGTTGAAGATTCCAAGCTGAAGACTGACCATTGTCTCTGCTGAATCAAACAGGGTCTTGTAAGAGTTCAACTTCCAGCCGTATATCAAGTTTGTCTGCAAATTATAAAAATGGGAGGAAAACAGTTTCTCACCCAAATCACAAGGCCAGTTAGCAAGTGACACAGATTACTGGGCAGACTAGGTTCTCCATAATACACATGGTGATTTTTTTGCTTAGACACAGGGTGTATTGGAGCGGTTGGTGTCTCTTTACTGCAGAGATGAAGGTTTAGGTTAAAGCTGAGGTTGCAACTGAGAAATGAGCCCTGCTTGAAAACATAATTACTGTTGCTGCCAGTTGCTTTTACAAGCCCCCCCCCCCCCCGCGCTTTAGGCCTCAGCTTCTGCATATGTTTAAAGCACTCATACCACTTTAAGAGTCATGACTTCCCCCAAAAGAAACCACCTTTGGGTTGTAATTTGTTTCAAGCTGTTTTTAATGTTGTATTTTTAATGGCTGTAACCTGCTCTGGGACCTTAGGGTGACGAGTGTGTAGTAAGTTGAACTCATTGTCATCATCCTTGATATCTGGGGCTGATGGGAATTGTAGTCCAACAGCATCTGGAAGGTACCATTTTGATTACATCTGTATAACAGACAGGACTCTGAAAAAAATATGAGCAAACTAATCCAAATTATGGAGAGTTGGTAGGGGGCGGGGGGAGAGAGAGAGCCAGAAAACTGATTGGGAATAGATGGAAGACATGGGTACTCACCGCTATGGAGTAGGCAAGGAACATGATTATAATCACAGTTGCAAATCCTGATATGTCCCCCCAGGCCCTCCTCAAGGTTGAGGTGATCATGTTCAGCTTTGGGTTCAGCCGCAGGAGATGCCAGAGTTTCACAGTGGCAAGAAGAACCAGAAAGGCAATCAGGTAGCCCAGAACTGCATCAACAGTCGCTGTCTGGTTGAAGCTTGCAAACCTGAAGGAATATGGGAATCATTATGACATAGTGGAGGCTATTCTGTTAGGGCACATGGAGCATGGCTCCACCAACCTTAGTTACCCTCCACCTGCTTGCCTGCCTGCCTCTCTCCTTCCTTATAACCAGTCCTGGGGCTGTCTCTAGATGTCAGCTCCCTCCTCCTCTTTTGTCTCAGTGTTGCTTTTTAAAACTCACCAGGGAAGAGGATAATAATAATAATAATAATAATAATAATAATAATAATAATAATAATTTATTTATACCCCTCCCATCTGGCTGGGTTTCCCCAGCCACTCTGGGCGGCTCCAACAGAATATTAAAAGCTCAATAAAACATCAAACATTAAAAACTTCCCTAAACTAGAATTAGTTGACACTGCCTGTCATTGACCTCCCTGCTCTCTGCTCTACCAGTCCCAGCCAGCACCGGTAATGAGGCAGTGTTGTGTAGTGGTTAGAGTGTCAGACTGGGACTGAAGAGACCTAGGTTCAGATACTGGCTCAGCCACAAGGTTCACTGAATTTTTTGGGGCAAGTTTCTTTCTTTCTCAGCCTGATCTGCTTCACATGGCAGGTGAGAATCATGTTTGTCTCCTTGAGCTGCTTCTTGGAGGAAAAGTGGAGTTGGGCAAGCCAACCAATCCATTCTTTTCCAATTGAAACACAAGTCCTTAAAAATTGGACAGCTTCTCTCAGAGCAAAAACCTGGGAGCTGCACATTAATTGTATTTTATATAATCTTTATGGATGCAAGCAGTAGCTATTACAAAGTTGAAAAAATGCCTTGCAAAAAAAAAGATCTATGTGAATTTCATGCGACCCATCCCATCCATTTTGAGCTTGTAGTTTAAAAAAAACCCTCCACAAAATTATATGAAAAACTTGTATTTAAAAACTTTTTTCAAAAAACTAAATAAAAATCTAAAGCCACATTTTTCTAAAGACCTTTTTCTGAAACCATACATTTTTATTTTAATACATTTTGGTACTCTTTAATGCCAAGGACTGTACTGCAGCATTTGTGCAAGTGGCAAAATCAAAGGATAATTATATTTGGGAGATGCAAATCAGGTCAGTTTGCATTGGAATTCACAGACATCTAATTCCATAGATCACAAAGGCTGCTTAAAAATTCTCCCCTTTTCTACCTGTGCTGGGATGGAGGGTTTGCAAAGTGGCAGGATGGGGAGCCCTTACTCATCCTTATGCTCCTGATAGTAGCTGATGTCCCGCAAGCCCAAGATTGTCCGTCTTACAAACACCAACAGGGCGCTCCAGCTGATGGAAATGATGGCCAGTTCCAACAGGTTCCACTTGCTTCGGAAGTAATTCCATTTCAGAGCCCGCATGAGCTTTCCCTGCAGGAACAAGGTGTTCAGTTCCAAAGAATGCATTAAGTGATCATTAGGGAGAAAGGCAGATTGTGTTGCTACAATGCAACCTCATTTCGATGACTAGCCAAGCATGACCTCATATCCAAGGATCACACAGTCAGTTAAATGAGAGAGCTGCTGGAATGTAGAGAGGGTTTACAGCTTTTTCTGGCTGGTGGCTGCCTCTGCTTTCTAACAGCTGCCTGACCTGCAGAGATTCAACATGGAAAAGAAGATAAGGAAAACACTTCTGATGGCTAGCCTATTCAGCAAGGAGCATTCTGCTCTGCAAACTGTTTGTTATCTATTCCCAACTATATTCACGATGCATGTACAGAGACTTGGGGTGGCCTAAATTTTAAACGGCAAGTAGGAACTGTATGCCATTTCCTGGGTTAACATGGCTGCAAATAAAATCTTGCTGGAACCAAATAAGAAGGAAAAGACACTAAATTTCTTCTAGATTCCGCTTGTTTTCCAAAAGTGGCTTTTACTTCATGTGAAAGATCACATAAAACGTGGAAATCAAGTGTTACGGAAATGACAGGAAAATGAAGCAAAGTGCTGTCTGAATGCAGCCTTAGGTACTCCTTTATCTCCAATGATAGAATCATAGAATCGTAGAATCATAGAGTTGGAAGAGACCACAAGGGCCATCGAGTCCAACCCCCTGCCAAGCAGGAAACACCATCAGAGCACTCCTGACATATGGTTGTCAAGCCTCTGCTTAAAGACCTCCAAAGAAGGAGACTCCACCACACTCCTTGGCAGCAAATTCCACTGTCGAACAGCTCTTACTGTCAGGAAGTTCTTCCTAATGTTTAGGTGGAATCTTCTTTCTTGTCTATATGACATCCTTTTATATATTTGAACATGGCTATCATATCACCCCTTAACCTCCTCTTCTCCAGGCTAAACATGCCCAGCTCCCTTAGCCGTTCCTCATAAGGCATCGTTTCCAGGCCTTTGACCATTTTGGTTGCCCTCCTCTGGCCACGTTCCAGTTTGTCAGTGTCCTTCTTGAACTGTGGTGCCCAGAACTGGACACAGTACTCCAGGTGAGGTCTGACCAGAGCAGAATACAGTGGCACTATTACTTCCCTTGATCTAGATGCTATACTCCTATTGATGCAGCCCAGAATTGCATTGGCTTTTTTAGCTGCCACGTCACACTGTTGGCTCATGTCAAGTTTGTGGTCAACCAAGACTCCTAGATCCTTTTCACATGTACTGCTCTCAAGCAGTTCTGGAAATTCCATGCAAAAGAGAAAGCCAATCAGTTTGTAGGACAGCATCCCAAAACTTCAGGGTGGTCGCAAAAAGAAGGACAGCTGTCTCATTACAAGTCTTTGGCTGCAGGCCTCTGCACACCTACCTGGACAAAGTCCCATAGAACTAAGTGTGGGACTTATTTCTGAGAAGACATCTATACAGTTACACTGTCTGGGTTACTTAGTCCGTGCCTGCAAGGTGTGGCAGTTGACTGGCAGCAGGAGTTACAAGCACTATAATAATCAGGAACACTTAAGTGTCAGGGCTGGTGGCAGCCAGGGCTGCTGATAGGATTCACAAGCCCTGGAACATATGTGACCAAACAATATGGGTGTCTGGTCTCCAGAATGCATGGGGGACCTGTGTATTCTTCAGATGTTGATGACTTCCAACCTGCATCAGCCTCAGTGAATATGGGCAATGGCCAGGGATGGTGAGAGTTTCACATCTGGAAGGACTAATTTGTGGAAGGCTGGTTTAGCAGCATTCTTCTCAACTGTGGCACAAGAAATTCCAGGTTCATATCACCAACAAGGTTTGCTTTCCTGGCTCAGGGTGGAAGAGCATGCCTTCCGCTGTTCAGAGGTACCATGCCTCTAAATACCAGTCGCTGAGAACCAAGAGCAAAAGAGTGCTACTGCGCACAGAGGCATGTGGCTGGCTACTGTTGGATGCTGGAACAAATGGACCATTGGCTTGATCCAGCAGGGCTTGTCTGGTATCCTTACCTGTCCCACCATGTAGTATATGACAAACAGGAAATAAATGACTTCTGCTGCTATCACAAAGATATGCAGACCATCTGTGTATGGATAAAGCCGGACACTCTGCAGCTCAGACCGTGTGAAGAAGGCCCCTGCGAAACCAAAGCAGAAGTCAGTATTCTGTTCTGTCGGACAGCAGGTGCAGCTTATTGTGGAGGGTTAAGTCAAAATGTACAAATCTGAAATGCCCTCTTCTATGTATTGTAGCTGTTAAAGGTATGGAAATCATGTTCCTTTTTCTGTCTGGCTCACTGTATCCATGTAATATGCTGGGTTGGTATTGAATTACTACAGTAATGTGGAGACAAAATGTGCCAGGCAAACTCCCAGAGTAATGTAGGCACTGCTTTTTTCTTACGTGAAAACACTGGCGCAGATGTCAGGCTCTTACCTAAGGCATTGGTTTCAAACATGAGGCTTACAATGCAGAAGAGGTTCACATTTGCATTGTAGACAGTGAACTCAACAAACACAGCTCTCGTAAATGTATCCAGCCAAACGTTATTGAAGAGGTACTGGAGGATTCTGCCAAAATACAAAGTGAGGAATGTGCCATCACATGCTGAGGTCCTAAAAATGTTAAGATGCTAAGGAGTCAAGAGGTTGCCAAATCCAATCTGAAGATCCAGCAGAAAAGAGGGTGGAACCCCATTTCCTGCAGTAACAAAGCATTCAATCTAGAACATTTGAAATGCCCTTAGATCAGCCATTGGTCTAAACTAGCCTTTCCCAACCTAGCACCTTCCAGATGGTTTGAAAGACAACTCCCATTAGCCACAGCCAGCATAGACACCCTCAACCCCACTTTATCTGGCTTGACTATGCAAAAGGTAAAAAGAACTCTATAGCTCCAGGAGAAGAATACAAATAATATCAATACACCATTGAAATGCAAGCCTTGCCTAACAGCTATTCAAAGTCCCAAACTTCAAAATGCAGTCATACCCTGGAAATGGCATGTATGCAATTAGAAAATGCAGAAACGCTTATGGCATATTTGCAAGGAAACGTAAGTTTACCTCTCTGCTAAGACTTTCCCCAATCTGTACTAAATCTGGAGCTGCAACTGCATGCTTTGCAAAACATCAACACCCCATCTTCTTGCTTGGTTGCTTTCCATTGAACTGCTAATGGGTGGGATGGGACCCTAGCACCAGGTGGAGCCAAGGATTCCCAACCCCTGAATTAATCTAACTGATTAAACTACTGCTGCTGCTACCACTCCTACAGTGGAAGCACAAAAAAGCAGAGATAAGCTACCTGGAGGCATTGTGGGCATCTGTCCCCAAGTGAACCACATATCCACCACCTCTGTAGACAGCCAGTTTGCCCCAGATTGGGTGCCCTCTCAGTTTGGACTGGCTTTGATACTGCCATGCAGAACTGAGTTCTGATGAGTTATCAAGTGAAGAGATGTTCCAGTGCGCTCCATAATCTGCCATGTCCTCCGTGTCGAAAGAATAAGAAGCATGGCACTTGCCAACCGTCAGCTGCAGTTTGGGATCTATTGGGCAGGTGTTGCCCTTCACTCGCACCTGGCGAATCCGGGCACTGCCCACCAGCTTGGAGTTGCCATCCGTGATAAAGCCTTGTTGAAATTTAAGGGGGGAGGGGGAGAGAAAGTGTTTGAAAAGGCAAATCCTTCCACAGTCATTTGCAATGCTTTCGAAGTTAATTTGTACTCCACCAACAGTTTTATTTATTTTATTTATGGCAATGTCGTCTGAGTGACAAGCAAACCCTCGTAACAAATGCACAAGATGCAAAGAAACAGAGACGAAGAAGCAGCAACCGAGGCAGCACAATGCAATGCTAACTGTATTTGCTTGTATAAAAACTTCATAAGGCTAAAATCCTTAAAAAGGCAGATCTTTTTCAGTCAAAGGGCTGCATCTCCTACTGTGCCAGAGTCTGAATGCCAGACAGAGATCCCTGGTGAGGCACATTTGGCCCCTAGGTTTCAGTCTCCTCATCGCTACCATAAAAAACACAGCCAGCTGAGCCTAAAATTATTCCAGTAATAAATTAAAAATATGTCCATGCTAAAACAAGAAAGCCCTTAAAAAACACAACTCGGTGAACTGAAGAGTGTCTGGTGCCAAAAAAACAAATTAATGTAAGCACCAGGTGAATATCCCAAGATCTAGCACTCCATAACAGAGGAGCCACAAGAGAGACGGTCCCTCTCTCTTACCTCCACTTTCTCAGGGGGTACTTGCAGAAGGGCTTCCACTGATGACTTTGGGGTACAGACAGCAGTATATTGGAAGAGGAGATGCTTTAAAGCAGAGATGGGAAACCTAAGGCCCAGAGGGCCAAATGCAGCCTTCCATGCCTCTGTTTCTGGGCTTTGGAACTCTTCCCAGGCCTTTGGCTCATTAAACAATATATGGGCTTTTTGTTTGTTAATCTGTTATGTATTTTTGTGTTTTTATATTGTAAACTGCCTCTGATCTTTGGATGAAGGGTGGTATAGAAATTTAATAAATAACTGAAATGAAACAAAATGAAATGAATCTCCGTACCTTGGTGTGAGCTGTACAAGTTGCTGACTAAGGTGGTTCTGGCCCATTTGAAGAAGTCCTGATAACTGAAGACGTCTTGGAATCCGTCTGTGAAGCTGTTCTCAATGTGTTTGTTCAGGTAATAGGAGTTAGGATCTCGCTGCCCATAGGCAACCAAAAGCAGCATCCACAAGAAACCCAAGTAGGCTGGGGAGAAGAGAGCAAAGCAATATGAAAGCAAAGAAGAAACCCAATAGGTTTCCAAAGGTGCTTCCAGACAAGGGGCTAATACATTGCAAATGGCTCATTCTAATCTGTGCAACTGTAGTACGAACACAGGTTTTTCTGTACCTTTGCAAACACACCTTAAAAAACAATTCAAGAAGTGTACAAGAACACAACAGCAAACATTGCCACCCTAATCCTAATTGAGTTACCTGGGAGTAAGTCCTATTGAATTCTGAGTAGATATGGTTAAGGTTCCACTGGTTAGGATTACGGCGTAATGATTGTGGCATATGTTTTTATGAGGGGCAATATTCATTTCCATTTGGTTCTAATTTTTAAATACTAAGGTCTTGGACACACACAAAATTGTACTGTGCTTATGGTCCCTAAGGTAACGCCCCATGTTTACTTTGTGGACCACTTAAGAGAATAGCTTCTCTAAACTGGGTTTGTCCTTGTTGGTTTGTTTTTAATGACCCAGAGGACAATCTTCTATTTGAAGAGTTCCCTATTGCCCAGCCCAAAACCAGTTTAAAGATAAAGAACCCTATAAAGAAGAGAGGGCCTTGTTTCAAGGCAGAAGGGGCATTGAAAGTTGTCCATCAACAGCGAGCAGTAAAAAAGGTAAAGGTAAAGGACCCCTGGACAGTTAAGTCCAGTCAAAGGCAACTATGGGGTGCGGTGCTCATCTAGCTTTTCAAGGCCAAGGGAGCCGGTGTTTGCCCACAGACAGCTTTCCGGGTCATCTGGTCAGCATGACTAAACTGCTACTGGCGCATGGAAGACTGTGACAAGTGCCAGAGCGCATGGAAATGCTGTTTACCTTCCCTCTACAGCGCCACCCACTCCCTTTATGTTTACCTTACCTATTTATTTACTTGCACTGGTATGCTTTCGAACTGCTAGGTTGGCAGAAGCTGGGACAGAGCAACGGGAGCTCACACCGTCATGCAGATTCAAACTGCCAACCTTCCAATTGGCAAACCCAAGAGGCTCGGTGGTTTAGACCACAGCACCACCCAGCACACAGCTCACCTGATCAGTCTTCCCCATGGTGAGATTATTGTATTTCTATTTACGTTTATAGTAATCATTTCTGAATGTGAATCTATACACATTAGACAAGCACATTTTATGTGAATCAGTATCGCCTATTGTCCTCTTTTTCTTGACGAGGAAATAAGTAACTATCCAACTCATGCCTTCTTTTAAAGCCCATTCTCTCTCCCCTCACAGTATGTTTAGAATGCAATCATAAAAGTACCCAATATTTCTCTAATCAGGGCAAATGCTTTCTGCTCCTTGACACGGTTATTCTTCATTTTCTCAATGTCGGTAGAAGGGGGAGGCTGGTAGATGTTGCTTCCGCTGTCTCTGCGAGCTCCAAAGATAGGGTTTGAGTCACCTGTACAGGAAGAGGAGGCAGCAGCCTATTACTAGCCTGGAATTTATCAGCTGAAAACAATAGGAGAGGGACAATGTTTGGAGACTGTGAATCCATGGCAATAGGCCTATGTCACCAATCTCAGGTAGCGCATTCTTGCCTGTATGAAAAGTGCAGTTTCCATTAGGGAAAGCCTAATTTAGACTAGCCCTAGAGCTAGTTTTGATAGCCTACATCAGGGCTGGGGAATCTTTTTCAGCCTGAGGAATCATTCTCTTCTAAGCATCCTTCCAATGGTCACATTTCAGTGGTGGGCGGGGTCAGAAGCAAAAGTGGGTGGAGCAACAATGCTCACACATCTCTGTCTATCCAGGCAAGCAAGAAGCATCATCAGGAGCTCAAAAGCACATTCTAGTTATCAAATCCCACCCCAAAAAAGCAATAGTCTGGGGGCAGGGTTTGTGGTTGTTTTTGCATAATGTTCTTACTTACTTTTCATGCTACAGAAAGCACATTTTAATAGCAACAGTACGATGTGCCCCAAGCTACCAAGGACATTCATACTCCTTTAGGTACCCAGCTCATTTAGAGCTCTGTAGGTCAAGGCCAGAACCTTCAAATACAAAGTCAATGAAAGCTTCTTTGGTTTCTTGACCATTTCCAGGCACAATTATAGACAGACAGACAGACAGGAAGGATTGCAGGCTACTTTGTATATCTCCTTGCAGTCACTTCCTCAGCACGTGGGAAACCTGTGGTCCTCCAGTTGTTGTTGGACTGCAATTCCCACCAGCCCCAGTAGCCTGGTCAGGGATGACGGGAGTTGGAGTCCAGTAACAGGTTCCCCACCCCCTGCACTAGCTGATTAATAGTGCAATCTTATATATGTTTGTCGACTCAGAAGGAGAAACCAATGACTTCAGTGTGACTCACTGTTCGGTTAAGCATGTATAGCAATCCTAAACACACTTACTAGGGAGAAAGCCCTACTGAGCACTGTGGGACTTACCTCCAGATAAACATGGATTAGATTGCACTTTGCCTCCACAGCATCTATCAGTATATTGTTAATTATAAAACAGCAGTACGGTAGTTTGATTTTTAAAAAAACAGCAACTCTCTATAAATACTCAGTCTTCCATCACCAACCGTAAGCTGATTTTTAATGCTGACTGCCCTTCTGTTTTAGGCTAAGATGCTTATTTGATACAATTGTTTATGTAACCTGCACTGGGTTCTTACTAGGAAAACAAAGGATACACACTTAAAAACCCCTTTAGGAACTTCAGTGGAGAAGCTGAATTATTTAGAAATGGAAAATAGCACAAACTTACCTAGTACCTTGGATTATGGACAAAAAAGCGTAGACTGACTGGAGCAAAGAAAAGGTCATCGATATCAAACAGTGCATGTGATCTAACACCCATCATGGCTATTGAAATGGGCAGGAGAGAATATGTTTGGCTTAAGGTGAGATAAAAATAGATCTCTGCACAAGCGAGAAAAGGGCCTAAGTGGAGCGAGGAGCTCTGCTGTACAGCCAGTGAAACTTCCACTTTTCAAAGATGACAAGGAAACTGGGCAGGTGTCCAGTACAGCGTGCTAATTTTGCCAGTGGAACTGATGTGACAACAAGAGGCAATTTCACAAGGGAAACCTGATGCTCCTGAGTCCTGGTTGCCCCTTATGGTCCACAAATTGCAGAAGAGAATGTCCCTTTATATCAGGCTTGTTCGCATGATGTACTGAACACAAGTTCAAACTGTTTCTACCCGTGTTCCAGTGTTTGCATGAAAGAGGGCACACTTGTTGATCTGTTCAGCTCAGTGACTATGTGCATAGGTACACAGACAGTACAACAATTGAACATTACATGCGAATAACATGAGTGCGCAACTATTTGCACATGCAGGTTACACAAATTGTGCAGTTATTGCTAGACTTGCCCCTATTCAGCACTTTGCTCTTCCTCAATCCTTTAGAAGTTGAGGTCAACCGTATGAACCTGCCTAGCTGTTAAGAAAGTCCTCAGAAGGCCTTCTCTGCAGTCCCCTTCTTTTGGGAGCTTGATGGGTGGCAAACAGAAGGAGGACTTTAAATTGGAACTACAACTACTTCTAGCTTTCTCTGTCCTACCATCAAAGCCTGGTCGTGATATTTTGCAAAGCCAGGGGAAATAAATTATAGGTCAATTTTCCCCAATCAGCAGCCCTCCAGATGTTTTGAACACCAAATCCCATTAGACACAGTCAGCATGACCAATAGCCAGGGCTGGTGACAGTTTTGAAGGACACCAGATTAGGGAAGGCTAATGTTATTCTAGGCCATATTATTAAAATAGCTTAATAAGTTACCTGGGGCAGACAATGGGCCATTGATAGATGTGTTTTCCTCATCTTCCTGTTCCACCTTTTTAAGAACCAGAGCAAAGAAAGCAGCAAACCCCAGTACCTGGAAAACAGTTGTTGCAGATCTAGAAACATATTTTGGCACAGATAAGCCTAGTGTAAAATATCTATTTCTGACACCTTGCATTGGCAGTAAAGATATTGTGTTTTCTAAATGCAGATGAAGCCCGTGGAATATTGGAAAATTTGGCCACCAGGAATCTGTTTCACTCTTTCTGAAGACGGCACAAATAGTATGCCACTGATTAATGAAGGCTGCCTTGCACATATCAAATTAAGATAATGCACCGTTAGAACTATGGTTTCTGAAGGTGCCAGCAATTCTGCAGTTAAACCAATAACTACAATTTCCAGGCTTCTCTTTGTTCAGACTCTTGCTTAAAGAGATTTAAAACCAGTTTACATTTGTAGTATAGACATTAAATTAAAAGACGAAACAAAGCCCTGCAATTCTTCCCACATATATTTAGATGGCCTCTTGGTACCCTGATTTGACCTTAGGCTAGGAACAAGCAGATAAAATCAGATAAATGAAAGTGCATATCCAGAGGTGCCCATAGCATCCCTTCTGCAAGTGGTCCACAGAAACAAAACCCTTGGTGAGCAATGCATATCTCCTCTTCATTTCCAAGCCCTGAATATCCTTCTGTGACCATTCACTGACATTCCCGCTTGTGTGCACACATGTAAATGGAGCTTCTGCCATTGAACCTTATGTAACTACAGTGGTGCCTCGCAAGACGAAAAGAATCCGTTCCGCGATTCTCTTCGTCTAGCGGTTTTTTCGTCTTGCGAAGCAACCCCATTAGCGGCTAAGAGGATTAGCGCTATTAGCGGTTTAGTGGCTTAGCGGCTATTAAAGGCTTAGCGGCTGAGCTGCTAAAAGGCTATTAGCGGCTTAGCGGCTTAGAAAAAGGGGGGGAAGCGGGGGGGGGAAATGGCAAGACTCGCAAGACATTTTCGTCTTGCGAAGCAAGCCCATAGGGAAATTCGTCTTGCGAAGCAACTCAGAAACAGAAAACCCTTTCGTCTAGCGGGTTTTCCGTCTTGCGAGGCATTTGTCTTGCGGGGCACCACTGTAAAGCCTGTGATGAAAAGGAAGGGCAGTCTTCAGTGGTAGAGTATCTGCTTTGCATGCAGAATGCCCCAGGTCCCCTCCCTGGAATCTCCAAGAAGGGCTGTGGAAGACCCCTGCTTGAAACCCTGGAGTCAGTGCAGACAATACTGAGCTGGATGGACAGCTTTCTAATGTTCCTAAGGGAGCTTACCTTTAAGGGTTGTGTGATGAAAAGGCTTTCAAAGAAGGAGATGGCCATGGAGATCAGCCACTTGATGGAGTTGTCCTTCCCATAATGCAGCCCGTACAGCATTGTGAAGAATCCTGATACGCCGCTGGTGATGGCCACCAGGGACCAGCCAATGAAGACACACCAGCAGGGCAGGCCTTTGGGTGTTGGTTCCTTCTTGCCATCTCCGAGAACGCTGGGAGTTGGTGAGCCTCTGGTGAAGCAAGAAAGCTGGGTTACATGACATATACAAGAGCTCAAAGCAGTGGTAAAAATAAGCATCTTAACAAGGAAGGGGCAGAATGTTGAATGAAAAAGATTACAAGTGTGTAAGAGTGCTTTAAAAGTATGGTAGGGATATGGTCCTTGTCATCCCTCAGTCATTCACTCACTCTTGACAGATTAACTACTGAATTTTATATTCTCAAAACAGGGGTTTGAATGTCTGTTTCCTTGTCCCTCATTCCATCTTAAAACATCTTAATTCCACCCTGCAGACTCCATGACTTTACATGAGCTAACTTTTTTTTTCTCATTCTCCCCACCCCGTTTTCCTCCCCCACTCTGTTTACTGTCTAGCTCATGGGTCTGCAACCCGCAGCTCCGGAGCCGCATGTGGCTTTTTTACACCTTTGCCGCGGCTCCGGGGCGGATACTAGCGAGGGGAGGATGCGCATTGTGTGCCCCGACACTCCCCACTGTGGCGGGCGCTGTACTGGCTGTGACGTCGCATGGGGGCGGTGCGTGCATTAGTCACGCACCGTCCCAACGTCACCTTCCCGCCCGCCCACTACATTGTAAGGGGCATGTACGCTGGTCACTGCATTGAAAGGGGGCATGTACGTTGGTCACTGTTTTGAAGGGGAGTGAAGAACACACACACAAAAAAAGGTAACTTGTTACTTTAACGTTTATTTCTATGAGGAGGAGTAATTCTGAGGGGTCAAACAAAGAAATAATAAAAAAGTGACAAAAAAGTTATTTTTATAATGACGAGTTTTGCGGCTCCCAGTTTTTTTTTTCTTCGGAAACGGTTCCAAGTGGCTCTTTTTGACTTAAAGGTTGCAGACCCCTGGTCTAGCTTGATGAAGTGTTCTAGTGAACTCAAAAGCCTGCATGCTACTTTGTGACATTTTGGTTAGACTGCATCTATTGCTGGCCATACTCAGAGTAGACTCACTGAAATCAGTTGACATGATTAATTTAGGTCTATTCATCTCAGTAGGTCTAATCTGAGCAAAGCTTATCTGAGTACAACCTGTGGCCTTATGGTGGATTTTTGGCCTCAGTTTTCCCTTCCCCAAACTGTAAACTGGGAATAACAGACCTATCTCATAGGAGTCCTATGAGGAAAAAGTCAACAAGGCAAAGCGTGTAAATGTTCTTATGTAAGATAAATGCATGGGCAATGGCATGAGGCCTCTGGACCTTCCCCAAACTCATCATTTTACCTCTCACTGATGGATGCTGCAGAGCACAGCTGGCTTTCCAGGAAGTCCTTCATGTGCCGAACCTGCCTCACAGCCTGGGAGTAGCTTTGTGGGCTCTGGAATCTATGAGGCCCCAACAGCTCCATCTCCATCTCCACATGCTGTAGCTGCATGTAGAGGCAGCGGTTGTAGTCTCGATGCTTCAGCCTTTCACTCACTCCTTTTTCTGGAGTTGGAGTCCTTGTCTTTTCTAGAGGGAGAGGAAAACTAAAACTTGTTTACTTGGAGATTAAAAGAACACCATCATTTGTAACAGCTGTTTGATGGTGGAACGGACTCTCCTTCACAGGAGGCTTTCGAACAGAGGTTGGATGGCTACTTGTTAGGGACTCCTTACCTGTGATTCCTGCATGTCATCTTGAACTCACCTTTTCTGTAAACTAGAATGCCTCAAACGCAGCAAACGTTCCCCATAGGGAGTTGCTCCACCCCTCAATCATTTGGGTTGCTCTTTTCCTGAACCCTTCCCAATTTTACACTGCGCTTTCTAAGTTGGCCAGAACGGTACAAATGTAGTCACACCATAGATTTGTATAAAGGCATTATGATATTGGCAGTTTTATATTCAGTTATTTTTCTCATCATTCCTAACATGAAAGTTGCCCCTTTTTCACAGATGCCGCACACTAGAATCCCAAGGTCTCGTTCCTGGTCAGCCACCAGCAGTTCCAACCCAATGAACATATGTGTGAAATTAAGATTTTTTTGCCCCAACAGGCAGCAAAATGTCTCAGGCTGGCCCTGGTGAACTGTCTCAGAGAGTGAGCATGTCAGCCACTAGGACCATGTTGCCTGCCAGATGGTTCTGTGTCCTTGGGAGCTGTTATCACCTTCACTTACCGGAATTTTGCCGCATCGGAAATTGCCAGCTTGTAACTTACCTTGTAAATCCACCAAGCCGAGGGTGATGATAATTGGATCATCTTTCTTCTTGCTCTCGTCATAAAATTCCTGTCCGATCCTGTTCTGCTGGCAGATAATGTCCTCAACCAAGGCCAAGAGCTTGTTGATGTCAGTCGATTTGCCAAAATCAGGGTCTGGGGAAGGTAGTGGGGCCTTGAGGGTTTTGAACAGGGAGTTGGCAATTCGCCTGATATCCTGTATGGAATCAAAAGATATGGTGGCAATGGGAGGGAAAATCCAAATTTGCCAAAATTATGAAAATGCCATCTGTGTTGGTTTCATGCAGAAAACATGCAAGGTTTTCCCCACCTTGATCCAGGCCCAAACCCTAAAAAAACACCCATCCCCCTCTTACCCAAAAAGAAAGATGAACAGAATCTTGCAATTAGGGGACATGCTATAGCTCAGTGGTAGGGCACCTGCTCTGCTTCCAGAAAGCCCCTGTTCCAATACCCAGCATCTCCAGTTAGGACTGGGAGAGAACCCTGCCTGAAAGCACTGTAGAGCAGCTGCCAGTCAGTGTAGACAATACTGTGCTGTATGGACTGTTGTGTCTGGCTCAGTATAAGGCAGTTTCCTTTGTTCCTATATACAGTACGAGGGACGTCCAACTCCCAACAGATTGTGATGTACTCACAGTATTAAAAAACTGACCGTGCTCTACCCATTGTCATTAAATGGATCAAAGTTGTTGGGGTTTTTTGGAAAACCAAAGTTGTTCAGCTTTTTTGGGAGAGGCAAAGTTGTTTAGCTTTTCTTAGGAAGCCAGAGTGGTTGAGCTTTTTTGAGGAAGCAGTAGTTGTTGAGTTTTTAAGTTATTTTTTATTTTGAGGGGAAGGAGATCCAGAGATCAACCAGTATCTACCAGAAACACCCCACAATCTACCAGTACTTGAATTCCTTTTCCAAAGAAATAAAATGCTGGAGGAGAGGAGCGACTACATATTATCATGAAATTGAGCCTATACTGCTCAGGCATTGTGTCCTTGATTGCACAGGCGCAGTGGAGCCATCAGAGGAGGATTCTGGGGCAGAAATCCCAGGCCCCATGCAGCAGATAGAGGGAAGGCAGTCTGCAAAACCAGAAGGCCAGTTTACCGTATTCTCAAATCAAGAAATACACATTGCACTTTAAAGAATGGGGGTGTAGGTGGATAAAATCCTCATGCCCAGAGTCTTGTTTGTTTGTTTATTTAAATTTAGGAGAGTTTATAAACCATTTCATCAGAGTCACCAGTGTCAGGTGGAGCAACAGGAACATGAAAGCTTGCCTTGTCACCAGGTCAGGCTATTTCATTCATGTAGGTCAGTATTGTCTGTTCTGACTGGCAGGGTCTCAAACAGAGAACATAGGAAGCTTCCTGATATTTTCAAGACTGCCTAGCAGTGGCTTCCAGAGTTTTAGGCAGGAGCTTGTTTTCAGCCCTACCTGGAGGTGCTGGGGTTTGAAACTGCGACCTTCTGCTTTTGTCCTTCCCTGACCCTTCTAAGTGGAGATGGCACCTTCTGTAGGCAAAGCATGTTTGACTCAGCATAAGGCAGCTTTGTATAGTCACGTGGCTTGCCTTGATCACAGCCTCCGGAGTGAGTGACATATTCTGAGTAGCTTGCTGCAGAGGCGCAGGTAGGTCGGGAGACACTCGCCCACTTTTCCCTGGTTTCTTCTCTTTCTTAGGCTGAGACCGGATGTTCCTGAAGATCTGGACGATGAGCAAGTTGATGGGGAACATGAGGAGGGAGCTCTCAAAGCCAATCATCACCTCCTGCCACGTGAACTCTATTTTACCTGGCAACATCAGGTAGAAGAGAGGCTTTGCAGTTAGGGATCAGTTAGAATTTTCATTTTCTTTGCATTTTAATGAGAAACTACCTAATACGTACTTCTAGAACAACAGAGTCTTTCTTTCAGGAATAAAAACAAATTCACAGAAAACTAAAGACCGGGATGAAAGTCATTAGAACTACTATTTTCCTAAACCCATTCTTATTCTAAATTCCTATTAAAGTCCCAGCATTCCATACCTTAACACTCCAACATTCCAAACATATATGCAACATTCCTCCCTACCTAACATTCCATACTCCAAGCAAACTATCCTCCTTTCCTAATACAAATCCCAAATGTGGTTCATTACAGAGACATTTCATTTGCAAAATTTGGGATGTCAACACTCTGACCTGATGAATCCATGTTCTTTGCTTAAGAAGCTGAGCCATGCATGCTGGAAAGCTTTTCTAGTAAGCATTTATATAGCAGGTTTCACACACTCAAAGTGCTTCACATGGATAATCTCAGAAATCTCGCAAACAGCCCTTCAGAGTAGGCCAGTATGGTTATTCCCAAATAACTGAAGAAATGAACAAAGTAGCAGCCTGCTTAAAGTCACCTAGCAGCAATGCCAACCCAAAGCAAGAAGAACCCTTCAGATCTATAGAACCCCTTCCTTGTTCAGCATTCCGTCTTAACTCTCACCACAGTTCCAACTCAAGTGGTAAGGCTGGCGTGCAGTTACCTAAATCCATTTTCTGGTCAGCTGGATCCTTAGGCACGCCCCAGAACATGATGCTGGTCAGCATGGTGCACAGAAGCAGTGAGAAGCAGCAGGATACCCTCTGGGCTCGCGTGAAGGAGCTGCGTGGTGAGCGGTTGAAAATGGAGTACCAAATATGCCCATCACGGAAACCCTTTGAGGTCTTCATGAAAAACAGATTGCTGCAGAGGAGCAAAGAAGGTGTCAGGCTGGACCACGAGTAACATTTATTTTAAGCTAAAACGTAAGACTGTTTCGTGGATACATGGCTTCATGACAACACAGACAAATGAAACCACCAGAGTCGCATAAATCATTCTGGTGTGACTTGTAGTCTTCACCCTGTTAATAAACTCTAGCTGGGTGGGGACCATCTGTCTTCCCAGACTGGCCCCTGGCTTGTTCTCTTACACCTAGGAAGACACAACCTCCAACCAGGGGGCCAGGGCGTGGGGAGAAGACCTTCTGCCTCCTTCTGTAAGTTTTACTAGCTAGTCATTTCTACGGCAACAAACCTATACTTGGCCAATTCTTCAGTCATGTAAAAAGATGTTTAACAGTCTTGGTGGCCATTAACCTAACCACTTCAGTAGTACCTTCCACTATACAGTTACAGATATAAAGCTACAGGCTTGTAGGGGACACAAAGATGGCATTCATACCAACCCCACTACACTATTTTACTTACACACACACACATTTCTGCATTACCGACAAAACCCATGTGCAAGGGACTCTCTACTTCATAACCAGGGGAAGCATTTCTGGTAGGGCCAAAGCAGCCAGAGGAAACTGCTCCTTCTGGTCCAGCCTAACATACCTGAACTGCTTCATATCTTCCTCAGTAGCTACGGGGAACACTTTATCGAGGACACAATCTCCGACATCAATGGCTAGCCAAGAGTTGCAGAGGAAATACCATTTCTGATCCGTGGCCACATCATGAACCAGCACACGGTTCACATACCTGTGAACAAAAACAACAGAAAGAAGCTAGCAGGACTGACTTGGGATAGATTCGCACAACACAAGTGCACCAGAGCCCCCACTGCAGTATTTTGTGCCATGAGTGATTGTTCTTATGCAATTGGGCACCCTAGCCAATCCACTCTTGACCATGATTTACCAAGCCAACTTCACCCCTCTCCCTCTCAGTTACCAGCAGCAACCTCCACATTGGGAAAACAGGTGAGCAGCCTCTCCTCACCTGGCTCTGCCTCAGTGGCTGCTACTGCCCATGAGGGAGCTCAGCACCCAGCCTATCAGCTGGCTCCTCTTTCCCAGCCCTAGTTGAAAGGGTGCCCCTTTCCCTGTTCCATCTCTTTGCCCCTTGCATACCAGGACGGGCTGCCTCCGGAATTGTCATGCCACAGCCGGATGCTCTGCAGTTCCCCGAGTGGAAACAGTGTACACAGTAGGAAGACATCCACTCCTCCTCGCTCAAAGACTGGCATGTCGGGGTCCACCAGGTGGTGTGGCTCACTCTCCCCTTCCTGGCCGTACAAGGTCAGAGTCACCTGGAATAGCAATTGTTCATGCTTGTACTTGCGTGCCACCAAATCCTGAGCTGTGAATAGGTGTCTGAACGGAGCAAATGCAGGTGTGCATGAACACGATCAGGGGCTGTTTCACTATTTACTGCTTTATGATTTGCACTTATAGCCTCCAGGGTTTCAGGCATGAGCTACAGCACCTTACTTGTGTGCAACAATGCCCAGGACCCCATTGGTACCTTGGAGGTTGTAGCTGAGCCTCGACGGTGTCCAGTAAAAACAGTCACCAGGTAGCGATACTGAGCAAAGGGGTCGTTGTCCTCCAACACCATTATCTTCACCTAGAGATTTTATGGCAGCATCAGCAAAGACATGCAAATGACGAATGAAAATATGTAATGCAGGGAAGAGGAGAATGATTACTAGATCTGAATCTAAGATGTACCTGGAAATAGGACCAGGTGTTGTTTTTTTGCTGAGGGATGAGCTCTGGTTCCGCACCCCACCCCATCATTTATTCACACCTCCGAAGGAAACACATAGGGTCTTCAAATGGAATGCTGATTACCTCTTCCTCTTTGCACCATCTCAAAAATACATATTTTAAAAATATTTCTTAACTACCCTTCTTCAAGAGATCTCAGGGCAGTTTAAAGGAGTATGAAAACAAGTCATATACAAAGGCACAGCTCTATGTAACAAGTACAAAAATGTGCCAAAAAGGCACAAGACTGTAACATCAACGTATTAATGAGAGGAAGTTTACGATCAAGTAGACAAAAGTCTATTACAATTGCAAAGTGTACATTTCAGCAAGGATGACAAAGAGCCACACAGTGTAAAAATATTTATTATTGTACAGTTGTACCTTGGTTCTGGAACGCCTTGTGACTCGAATGTTTTGGCTCCCGAACACCGCAAACCCGGAAGTGAGTGTTTTGGTTTGTGAATGTTTTTTGGAAGCCGATTGTCCAACACGGCTGACGTGGCTTCCAATTGAGTGCAGGAAGCTCCTGCTGCCAATTGGAAGCCACGCCTTGGTTTCTGAACAAGTCGAATGGATTTCTGGAATGGATTCCGAGAACCAAGGTACCCCTGTATTGAAGAATGGTCAGTTGAAGAATGCTCTAAGCAACCAACAGCTTCCAGATAATGTCTTGTTTCACTGCTCTTTCTCAGGTGATAACAGCTTCATATTGCGGGAGACAAGTTCTAGCTGAGAACAAGACTTACTTTGGCATCATCTTGGATGTCTTTTCTTCTGGCCCAGATCAGAACCAGCAGGTACACGAGGAAGATGCTGCCCACAGTTGTCACCACCACAGGGTTGTCCACAAAGGTGGCAAACAACTCCACCGTTCTGCTGACGTCAATGGAGTTTGGCATCACAAAGAAGGAGCTCCCAAAGAATGTCAGGTGGTTACAGAGACACTGAGTGCCATTGGGGTTTGTTTTGGGGCCAACCTGCAAGCCAAGGAATAGTTGTCTTTATGACCACCTATCTATCCCTACATTCCTATAAGAATCCAAAAATACCCACTCACAAGCTTGTGACTTTGTGCAAACCTTGTGAGTACATTTTCCCCCCTTATAGGAATGGAGGAAGCTGCCTTATCCTGAGCCAGACTATTGTTCTGTCTGGCTCAGTACAGTCTACTCTGACTGGCAGTGGTTCTTCAAGGTTCCAGGCAGAAGTCTCCCTCTGCCTTACCTGGAGATGCCAGGAACTGAACCTGGGACCTTCTGCATGCTAGGCTGGTGCTCTACCATTAGGCTGCAGTCCTCCCCCAAATTTCATTACTCAGGATGCCCCTCCGCTGCATTATATTCTGTCTACTCACGTGGCATCCATAGCTGTTCCAGTTTCCTTGGTGCTCATCCCAGAATACACACTGGGAGACAAAGCAAGTGACAGAAACATTTATGTCATGGGTGGCCATGGACTCCAGTTCTGTTTCTGGTCTCACAATGAAATAGTAGGTCCCTTCTCCAAAAATAAGGTCTTCCGGGTGAAGGATCCAGGAATATACAACATCTGGAACAGATGTGGTTGAGCTGAAGTCTAGGGAAGTATGATCAGATTAAGCAATGCTTATTGCTTAATTTATAACATTTTTATGTGGTTAAAACGTGGCTTTGAAACATTAACAAGAGACCACAAAGGTTTTATAAATCATGATTAAAAGTCTACAAAAAAGATTAAAAGGTTGTTCTTAGCGGGAAAGGTTGTAACGTAAGAAAGGTTACATGTACACATTGCAAACCCCAAATGGACCAAGAAGAGTATAGTGAAATAAAGAGGTTAAATGCACCCAGCTTTCCCTCAGACTAAACAGTCTCTCAACATAACATTCTCTCTAAAGATTCTTGCATTAGAGTCGCAGCTCCTCCTCCTTTTTTGGAGTGCTGTCTTCCTTGTCATTGGGACACTCACTTTGATCTGCCTTTCTTTCATCTGGTACCCTCAGGCTACCCAAGCCCCTTACAGCCCAAGCCACAAAGCACTTGCAAACATTGCCTAGAGTTTGTGTCCTTCCAATTGGTTTCCCAGACAAGTAAGGTTTTATAAACAAACCCCTTAATTCTCAAACTAACCTGCATGAAAGATTTTTAGTTTCTACACAGGCTTACACCACCCTTTGGTTTATGAGCAAGCAACCAGACCTCTATCAGAGTGTTTATTTTTACCTCTTGAATTTCTGTTGAGAGGAAGGCGTGTCATCAATTCATAGTCAGTCTCGTTGGGGTGATAGCCATATCCCAAATATAGGATAAGTGGAATGTCTTGGTCCAGCTGTAGATGGATCACTAGAGATGCATTTACTGAAGTCACATTGACTTGGAGAGCACCGAAGTTTCCCAGATTCAACACATTCAGGTCATTGTCAGTTGCTGAATTCCTTGGCAGCATTATCTGCGTTTAATGTCAACAGTTCAATTCTGGAAATGCCCCCAAACCCTGATAATTTTTTAAAAACCTATGCTGTCATCAAGCAGGGAGACCCAGCTGAAGTATAAATGCAAGTGTGAGTTTATATATTAAATTTCTACCCCACCTTCTTTCTATGGAACTCCGGGTGTCTTTAATGGTGTTTCCCCTTCCCAGGCAGTCTCAAGCTTGCACTGCCCAAATTCAGACTTGTTTGGCTTCAGCAAGGTGCCTGCATCAATACCTTAAGACAGAGCTTTCCAAACCGTGTGTTGTGACACGTTAGTATCTTGGCTGCAGTGTGCAGGTGTGTCGGGCAAATGTTCCCTGCGCTCCTCCCAGGGCTGGAAACAGGTCAATTTAACCTCCGATTTCCTAGTAAAACTGAATTACTAAGAAGTATTGAATGTCTAAGAAGTGTGCCACCAACATGAAAAGTTTGAAAGCTCTGCCTTAAGACCATGTCTTGGATGCTGTGGTTAACCTGTGGCCTTCCAGATGGTTCTGGACTACAACTCCCATCACCCTGACCATAGGCCAGGGGTGGGGAACTGTGGTTTGTAGCCTACTAAGTCCTGCTTTGTGTAGACCCATTTAAATTAATAGATCTTAGTTAATAATGTCCACCAATTTCCATGGCTTTACTATAAGTAAGACTAATGTTGGATCCAAGCCTGGGTGGGCTGGGCTTCTCCCCTCATCACAATACAGTTAGCAATGATGAATGAACGAAGTGGCCTGTTTTTAGAAAAGCACATGGTCCTGCCCTTCAGAAATGCACACAAGGAAAATTACCTCAATGTCTTCTGTAAGGTTCTTAACTGGAATAACCAGTCCATCTAGGCTGGTGAGGGAGAGGCCTCCCACAGCACCATGGATATCAAAGCTGTCACTTATGGAAAAGGGGTTCACAGACAAGCTCACCATCTACAGGAAGAGATTTTTAAGCACCAAAAAGATTTGATCATAGAATCATAGCACTGTAGAGTTGGAAGGAACCCCACAACCCCCCACAATGCAGATGACCATCCAATCTATGTTTAAAAACCTCCAATGTACTACCACTGCAACAACTTCTTCTCCTTCTCCTTCTTCTGCTTCTTCTGCTTCTAACTTGCTAGTTGCTTGTTACAAAGATGTCTCCAAGCAACTTCCAGCATTTTTATAAGTATAAGTAAAATACAATATCAACACATTCATACAAAACCAGATGAAATTCCTACAAAATACAAATGCATAAAAATTCTTCTGCTGATCTCCTTCTTTTCTGCCTCTCAAAGCACCTGAACTTTTTCTTTAGTATTCTTTTTCTGTACTTAGCCTTGTAAAAAGTACTTCCTATTTCTGTTTGTTCTAGTTCCCTACACCTTTCCTCCCCCCCCACTTTTCCACCCTTTATTGGGCAGGTGGGGAACAGGTGGGTCAGTTTCTATAGTCCCATTGTTTATATTGTTATTAAAGCCAATAAAAGCCTTAATAAGAAAGGAAGAAAATGAATTCCCAGAGCAAGCTAAAGCGCAGTAAAAACAGGACACTTGCCCTGATGTCCACTGTCTCGTCTCTGTCTCCTGAGATGCTGAGAGAAGAGGCAGAGGGCAGAGTGAAGCTGGCAGAGCTGGAGTCAGAGATATGAATGGATGTGCTGTCTGCGTTGTCTGTCTGCAACCTTTCCAGAGAAAGATAAGAAAAAAGTCAGAAAAGATGAAAGCAAAGAAGACAAAATCACAGAAGTAGGAACCAAAACATAGGAAGTTGCTTTATACCAAGCCAGACCATTGGTTCATCTAGCTCAGTATTGTTTACACTGACTGGCAGTGGCTCTCCAAAGTTTCAGGCAGGTTTCTCTCAGCCCTACCTAGAGATGCTGGGGATTGGATCCAGGACCTCCTGCATACAATGCAGAAGGCATAGGAGGCTGCCTTAAACCAAGTCAGACTATTGCTCCATCTAGCTCTATATTGTCTTCATCACAGATGGGCAACCTTTCTGAGCCTGAGGGCTACATTCCCTTCTGGGTAACCTTGTTTGACTCCGATCTTTCAACTGACTTACAAATGAAAAATTCCCCACTGGAAAATCCAAAGTCATTTTTTGTTGTTAGGGTTGTTGCCTTGCCATATAGTTAATGGGATGCTAGTTGCTGCAGTTATGCTACATGTTTCCTGGAGGGTGATGAAAAAGCAGTATAGCAAAATCTGTTTACCGGTTGATGTACATAGCTGCAGAAGGGGCTGTGAGCACCATGGGTTCATTGTCAGGCAACTTCCCAATCAAGAGAGCACTCTGGAGGTTTTCAATGGTGTTTAGAAGCTGCAGTGACACCAAACTCTATGACAGAAGAAAAAACCCACACTCTGAACCTTCTTCCTTTGATGGTTTCCCAGCCAGTGCCTCCCACCATTCCTCCAGTCCATGCCAGTCCATGACACCCTTCCATAGCCACAATATGCTATATATACTTTTGCATGCTATAGCTCTTTGACCTTTCATAGTTAAGCGCCCACCTGTGCAGTCTCTGGTCCAGCAGTATCCTCTGTCCCATTCTGCACAGCAGCTTCAAGGACATTGCTCACTGCATTGAACAGATAGCTGGCAGCCTCCTTGCGCTTCAGGTCATCTTCGCCATCTTCAGCATTCACAATCAGCAAGGATTCACTGACATCCTTCAAAGTATTACCGGCTTCCACCTGAACGAGAAAAGAGGCCTCTAAGTGGACATAGCTCTCTAGGCTAAAGAGAACAAACTAGCAGGTTTTCATAGCTCCCTTCTTCCCAAATTCAGGTGATAAGCAAATGACAGGGCAGCACCTCTCACAAACCACTGTAGATTGGCGAGCGCCCTCTGCCAGGGGGTACTTGACACACACACACGTTCTGCTTCCCTCCAATGAAACTGAATGGTCAAGGATCCCTTTACTTTACTAAAAGAGGACTAGACAAATTCATAGAGGATAAGGCTATCAAGGGCTACTAGGCATGGTGGCTATGTTCTACCTCCACTGTTGGAGGCAGTATGTTACTGATAATACTAGTTGCAGAGAATCACAGGTGGGGAGAGGGCCGTTGGCTCCTGGTTAGCCAATATGAGAACAGGATCTTGGACTAGGAAGACCTTTGGCCTGACCCAGAAAGGCTCTTCTTATGTTTGGTACAAGGTGGAGGGTTCCATCAGTCACAGGTGGGTTCCTTTTCCTCTTTGAAATTTCTGTCCCAACTCCAGTTATCTAAGGGCAGCAAAGAGGTGACCGAGAGTTTTATAAGTACTGCCTTCCTCTAAGAATTAATCATTGAATACAGTGGTACTTTGGGTTAAGTACTTAATTCGTTCCGGAGGTCCGTTCTTAACCTGAAACTGTTCTTAACCTGTAGCACCACTTTAGCTAATGGGGCCTCCTGCTGCTGCCGCGCCACCGGAACACGATTTCTGTTCTCATCCTGAAGCAAAGTTCTTAACCTGAAGCACTATTTCTGGGTTAGCAGAGTCTGTAACCTGAAGCGTATGTAACCTGAAGCGTATGTAACTCGAGGTACCACTGTAGTTCCTTCAATTCCCCCCCCACTTTCAACCCCCCCCTTACCAGTCTGTTAAAAGCACCACTAATCTCAGATTCTCACATTGTCAATACATCTGTTGCCTCTTTGCATGAACCACACGCAGTTATGAAGACATGCACATCGCCCAGCCACTCACCTGCGCAGAGGAAGAGAGCTCTTCACTCCTGTAAGTGATTTCCTTGAGCACCTCTGACATCTTAAGAGCCGCCTGCATTGATGTTACATTTACAGCAGAGAGGGTCGTCAGCATCAGCTCTCGCAGCTGGGGATGCAAAGACAGATCTTTAGAGACCCTATAAATACTGGTTATTGATTGTCTTGTTTCTAATAGACCCTCCCCTGGAAGAACAGGATCAACTAGTACAGAAGTTGCCAACCTTTCTAGGTCCATGGGCACATCTGGATTTTTGAGTGAGTTGCCATGGGTACCATCCACTCTGATCACTTCCCTCTATCTCCCCCTGGATCATCCCCCCACCCCAACACACAGAAAGAGAAAGTGCAGAGACACATTTCACACTTCCATGTGTTCTGACTAAAACATCAGATCCAGTAGAATTAACCTGAACCTTGAAAAGCACATAGTGGGGAAATCAGGAAGTGGCAAAGGGTATCCCTTCCAGCTTCCTCCTCTATGTACTTTTCAAACAAGAAAATGCTGATCACCCTCGCCACTCCAGGATCAGGTGGACAGTGAAATTGGGGGCTCAGGGTTTCACAGGCACCAGACGAAGACCTGCATCTAGAGACTGTGCATTGGTGACCCTGTGATTTGCAACATGCTACTGAATATCATAGGGTGGTGACTCAAAAAATGGGCATTTTCAGCTGTTGCCCTTGTTCTGTGGAATGTCTGTCCCTCAGCCATACATAAAGCATCTCCTCCTTCAGATGTCTTACAAAGACTTATCTTTTTGTGCAGCCTTTCCCTGTTTGCCATAAGATAGGATCCTGATTTTTGTGTATGAATCTCCTAAATCTGCTTTTAAATGCTTTTATATTTTTATATCTTTCTATTGATTTTAGCCTATATTTTTGTTTTAATGGATATTGTTTTTATATTGTACATAGTGTACACAGCTTTGAGATTTTTAAGTGGTTCAGAAATGCTTTTAAATAAAAATATACATATAGAATTTCCGGCTCCCAATAGTTTAACAATAGCAACAACCAAAAGTCTTTCTCTCCCACGCCCTTCACCTCCTCATTTGGGCTGCAGAAATCAAGAATGCTTGAGAAAGCAGAAATAGATTTGTGGGTAAAATAATTAGGATGTGAGCCGTTTTCTGCTACCGAAACAAATTCCTAAGCTCTGCATGTGCTCAGAGGCATCTTGCCTTGCAATTCTATGTGCACCTTCTTGAGCCGAGATTTTGCACTTGGCTTCAATTGGGGACCTCAGAGTCCCAATGGGAAAAAGTAGACCCTCACCAAGCTTAAAGTCTGCCCACCCCTACTGTAAATTATAGTGTGGGAAGTGGTTTTTATGCCTAATCTGAGTTGAAATTCACTCTAATTGCAAATTCGCAGTTTATCTTCCAGTTGACCATATAAATAGAGGAATATATTAACTGCATGAGAGTGAAGGGAATTTATGAATGTGGAATAAATCCGTTTACAATAACAAGAGTTCCTAGTGAGATGAACATGTAGCCTTTTTGAGCATAAGTACCAGCTACCCCGTGACTTTCAAAATGATCATTATTAATGCCAATTAAACAATTCTTTACACTTCTCTGGCTTCTTTTATTTGCACATCTAGAGGCATTTTGGCAGTGCCAGATAGGATTTGGATCCCCAAAGCACTAAAATAATACAAACCCTATTTGTGACAACCCAAACAATGCTTCAGGAACTGGGGAACAAGGCCATATCTGAGCGATATCCTGCTTATTAGCAAAGGACACATTAACAGGAATGAGTTGTAAATTCATTATTTCATACAAGATTACTGCAAATGTGTCTATGCAGGGACAACTTTGGAAATAGACCCCAAGCTTCATTTTGTGCAAAATGCTGCTGGCATTTGAAGATCAGAGCATATAAATGCAGACTTATTCCACCTGCTGCAGTTATCTATTTGTTTCCAGGATTAACATAAAGTGTGAGTATTGGCTTTAAAAGTGAACAGCTTAGGGCCAGGTTGCCTTTCAGAAACTGCCTGCTCCTTCATGAGCCTACCAGGCCTTGGAGACTGGCCTTGGAGACCTTGCTCTCTGTAGTGCCTGTATACGAGATTCTGTGTGCAGGCAAGAGAGAAGGAGCCTTCTCAGTGCTGGGGCTGGGATTGTGGGGCTGGTGGAGATTTGCTGGACTCCATGTTCCCATATTTTGATGGGTGGTAAAGCTCTTTTTATTCCAGCTAGCTTTTAATTAATGACCCACTGGTTTTTTTAAAAAATTTATATGCATTTATAAAATGCATTTATAAAATATACATAAATGCATATATGCATTTATAAAAGTAATTATGTACCACCCTCTCATAAAATATCAGGCCAATGTACAACAATATGTACACCATTAAAAACAACAAAGTAATCATTAAAATAACTGGCTGGTGAAAAGGTTGTAAACAGCTAAAGCAATTACAGTGGTACCTCGGGTTAAGTACTTAATTCGTTCTGGAGGTCCGTTCTTAACCTGAAACTGTTCTTAACCTGAAGCACCACTTTAGCTAATGGGGCCTGCCGCCGCACCGCCGGAGCACGATTTCTGTTCTCATCTTGAAGCAAAGTTCTTAACCTGAAGCACTATTTCTGGGTTAGTGGAGTGTGTAACCTGAAGCGTATGTAACCCGAGGTACCACTGTATTTCTTTCCTACTCAACTCTTAATGCTGTTAGCTGAGTGGGGGTTTACATAGGGGTCACTACCATTGGGCATAATGCGCTGATGTCACAGAGGGTGTGGGCAGCCTTATGCCCCCACAGCTGAGAGGTAGGGGAAGCACCTGTGGTCTGCCCAGATCAAGCAATGACACCAGAAGATATTGATTCTACATTCCATGAGTAGCTTGTAGTAGATAAACTGTACAAATGCTGCTTAGACACCAAAGGTTCCAGGATGCAATATGTGCAGCTAACCTCTTTCCGTGTATCTGTCCGCAGAGATGAATTAACACTCTCTTCTTTTGTTTCTAGATTAAGGACAGAAGACACTGACTTGTACAGCTGGAACAGGGTCATGCTGTTGTTCTCGCCTTTGAGGATAGTGTTCGATTTTTCTGAAATAATGGCTTGCAAGGTCTGGTTTCCGCTGCTTATGTCCTGATGTTGAACCTGATAAAGCAAGGGGGAAATGCACACAGTTGTTCATTCCATAACCACCAAGGACATTCTAGCTGCTGAATGCCAGAGTAGATGTGTTGTTATTCTTAGGCTTAGTCCCCTCCTCTTAGCCCTTGTGTGGCTAGAAAACAAATAGCAGATGCAGATGCTCAAGGCTGAGGCCAGGACCATGATATACAGCAGAAGGCTTTAAGCTTTTCATCTCATTATAGTCCTGATCCAAATCAGTTCTCTGACACCAACAGTTCTCAATGAGAAGAAAGTTTTCAGATAGGGGCTTAATATTGTAAATGGGTTGTTGACAACATGTTTCTATAATAGAGGAGACACAGTAGGTGGAATTTTCTTTTCTGAGAAAAACCCACCTGCTGTGTCACCTGTACTTTCTTTGCTTTTCTTTTCATCCCACCATCAAAATTGGTGGGATATCAAGAGGGATATTAGGTGGTATATTGGGGGGGGATGTTCAGGGGGACCAGATCAAGCCCCTGAACTGTGTGGGTTTGTCACCCTATCTGTTCTGTGGCAGAGCCTTCCTGTGGAGAAAAGTCAACCACTCACTGGGCTGCACTTTCTAGAAACAATTGAAGACAGTTTTGTTTTGACAAGATATTGCAGCTGGATAAATGGTTGCAGGACCAGTCGTCATTCTCCCCAGTCTGCTACACCCAGAGAAATGAAAGACAATTGAGACTGGTTATGGATTGAAACAGGCCACAACTTTATTGAATACAGATGAGAGAGGTTTGGCTTGGGCATGGGGCAAGTAAATACTTCCAGCCTGCCTGCCAGAAGTGACGCAATGGTCAATCCACACAGGGGTTCCTAAGACTTACATCAAATAGGGACTGCTGTCTGGGGGAGAGCCAACGTTCCTAGGCCCCGGCTAGGCATGCGGACATGGCCACTCCCCCCGGATCCCTTTAACGGACTGTCTAGCATTTGGAGGGGCAGGCAGAGACTACAACCTCCCCTCCATCCCAGATTGATATTGCCCCAATGCCCAACCAAGTTGTGACGATTGCTATGAGGTAGGCAAAACCAACAGGCTGGTGACAATTTGCCTGGTGGACAAATTCCTACCCGGCCCCAGAATACAGCGACCACCTTAGCCACCCTCTCCTCCCATCAGGACAGGAAGCCAATCCTGGGATTTCTTGGGGGAGACTCTGCTGTCCAGCAACACCACAAGGGTGAGTGGATGTCTTTGCCTTGAGTGTCTATTTTGTACGGCCTCAGTTTTGTTTTAAATGTATTTACTCGTGTGTGTGTGTGTGTGTGTGTGTGTGTGTGTATGTGTGTTTAACTGTGTTTATTGAACATCACCTTAAGATGGCTGTATAGAATGTGAAGATAATAATATAGATAGCAAAGGCACAGACAGCAGAAGCCAGTGAAGTCACACCTACCCTGGCAGTGGCATTGGTATAAACAGTGTCACCATAGCCGTTGCTCACACCAATGTTAATCCATAAAAGAAAGTTATTGTCTGCTTCTCCAAGTGGAAGGTAAACTGAAGGTAGGACAGGCTCTTGTCCGCAGTGTAGAAGAGAATCTGGAGGAGAGAGGGAGATTGGTACAGGTGACAGAGTAGGAAACCAATTTTTCCATGACCCAGTCTGACAGCAGCAGCAGGGCATTTCTTGATCTGTGTTGATCTAGACTTGGATTGCAATGGCCAGGTGCACATTTATTTGTCATTTTCTATTTATAGCCAGTGGTTCTAACACAGGGTGGGGTGGGAAACCTGTGGCTTTACTGTTGTTGCTGGACTACAATGCCCTACACCTTTGTAGGGAGGGGCAAATTTCTCAGTTTCAGTTTCTCATTTTTCCAGCCTTAAGTTCAGTTCCCCACATTTCCACATCAGCTTGTGATTTATTTTTTAAATTCACCATGAAAGTTCATTTTAGTGTGAATTTCTCCAAATACACACATTTCTTATGCAATTTTGCAAAACAATTGCCCCGATATGACCCATTTCTGAATGTTATTTTCACCTCTACACACTTTAGTAGCAGCTTAGCTACCACAAGCTACTTGTGGACTGTAGAACCTGACCACTTAGCATAAGGGTGGGGAACCACAGACCCAGCATCCAAATGTGGTCCTCCAAGCTTCTCTATTTGGCCCTCGAGACTCCCTCTAGGCCACACCCCTTTCCTAGGACACGCTTTCCCCTGGCCCTGCTCTGCATCCTCTAGGATACTTTTGCCAGGCTGGGATGTGTCATTGAATTGTGAATATTTTATTGTATATTATTTATTTATTTCAGTTATTTATATATATTTTAATGCCTCTTGCTTACCCAGATGGATGCCCAGAATGTGCCTTTTACTGGAATGTAACCTACTGTATAAAAGTAAGAAGCACCCTTTTTGTTGCACCACTTCTGCCTCTAACCCCACTAAACACTGGCATGCCATCCCTATGAGAGAATTCAGCTACAGAGGTGCCTTCAGTTAGAACATGTGGACCAGAACCAACCTTAGACAAACAGTGTATGCAAGCAGCCACCTCTGACTCTTACTTGTCTCCAGGTAGAAGCAGTATGTGAGTGAGGAGCTGTCAGCTGGAAGGCACTGATCCACCAGACAGGGAGAATGACAGGAGATGGAGAAGCTGGTGAGCACTGATCCTTGAGCAGGAGATACAGTACATACTGGGGCTACAGGTGGAGGCACGGTGCTCACAGTATAGGTGTCTTCACCATATTTGTCCTCACTCATAGCTGGCAAATTTAGAAAGAAGACAAGTCAAAGGTGAGTTTGCTATGGTTTGTGTACTATTGAGACATAAAAGGAGCACTTGGCTTTTTGGATTAATATTACCTATACATTTTGCTGCACTGCAGCAACACCTGTGTGGTCATGCAGTGGCCAGGCTTCATCCTGCCTCCCCTCCCCCCAAACCAATCACACCTTAGTGGCAGCATTTGTATATAGGCTCCCATCCGTGTCAGCTGGCAGCCATTTCAGAACCCCCAAAATGCATTACCTGGCAATGCCTAGACAACCCCCAGCAGCCATTCCAAATGTTCCCAAAGGTCTGAAAAAGCCCTGAAGAGTTTGTTTCAATGCCCATTGTAGGTTTCATCCTGCAGGGCTTTGAAATATTTGCCATCCTTCGTGCCAGGGAGAACTCTGAACTGCACATTTGTTGTTGCTGCTATAATGTTGTTAATAATATGCCAATCTTCTACTTGAAGATGTCTTGGAAACTTAAATTGGTTAAAAATGTAGCGGCCGTATTACTGGCTGGGGTTCTGTTTAGTTCTTGCATATTCCCTGTTTTAAAACAGCTGCTTTGGTTGCCGGTTCATTTCCAGTCTCAATTCAATATATTAACAGGTTTAAGGTCTAAAACCTTAAATGATTCAGGCCCCCAAAATCTGAAAGACCACCTCTTTCCCTATAGGTTGGCAGAGGAGACCCTCTTGGTTGTTCCACCACCCTCAGAAGTTCAGTGAGTAGGGCATTCTTTGTGGCGGCCCCTAAATTGTGGAACTTCCTCCCCAGAATGCTGAAGCACACCTCTTTTCTCTTGTTTTTGACACCTGAGGTGTACCCACCTTATTTCTGGGATTTCTGTGTTTTAAACTGTTTTTAACATTGCCTTTCAATTGTTGTAAACTGTCCTGGGGGTCTTAGAGTGAAGGGCAGGTAATTCATAGTAATGAAAATAATACTCAGTAGTGCTTAGAGCAGCTTACAGGTAGAAAACAAACAACGATCAATAGCATGCAGTATTAAAACTACCAATTGGAAGCAAACAATTACTACTAAAGCCATAGTAAACGCAGATTATCCAAATTCTGGCTCTCCCACCTGTTACTTTAATTCGAAAAGCTTCTCCCTGGGTTTGCAAGAAGGAGCTGTTCAGCACCAACATTGGTGTGCCACTCTGAAGCAAAGTGAGGGAGCTCTGTGGGAAAGCATTCAAGGTACAGCTTGGTGGAAGAGGATTGGGCTGGTGAGGGGAATGAACCACAAGGGAAAGAGAGAGAGAAAGAAAGCAGAAGAAACATGGATTAAAACATGGACTTGTGGTCACCTTTCTACTATGTCTAGCAAAGAGACTGTTCTCAAGGTCTTCACCTAGTTCTCAAACAGCTGCATTAATATCTCCCCTGTCCCTTTCAAAAGGATAACCAGCTTTTAATAGTCTTGCCTTCTATCTCTAAGGGTGCATCCAGACTGCGGTTGATTTCAGGTCATCTAGCCTCCTCACAGAGAAATCAATATTTGATTTTTACAATTTTTATTAAATAGATATCTTACCCGGGGCAGCAAATGAGCTCTGTACCAAATGAGCTCTGTGCTTTTGGGTGGAATGATATATCAGTGATGCAGTATTTTTTTAAAAAATTTTTATGTAAAACATTTTAAAACAACTGAAAACATGTAAAAACAAAAATCACAATAAAAACATAAAACAAATTTAAAAACAGATGTAACTATATCATGTGTCTAGATAGGCCTACTGAAAGATAAAATGGTTATTAATAAATAGCCAGTGTTATCTAATCTCCCTGCAAACAAATCAAGATAAAAGCTCAATAAGCAGGTTGTCTGCTGCTGGTTATTTAGTGAACATCCTTCTGATTTGTTTGTCGGAAGGTTAAATGATATTATGTCAAAGCAAGTGTCATCTCACACACAGGATGGATCTGTCCATTTCTGTTCTCTCAGTTTTTCATTTTTTACAGTCTTAAAATCTGTTCCCCACATTTCTGTAGCCATTTGTAGATTTCTTTGTAAATAATTCTCACAAAAATTCATTAGCGTTTCAATGCAAATTTCTTCAAATAAACACATTTTTAATGAACTTTTGCAAGTAATTTTTCCCCATATATAGAGTTTTTGTAAACATTGTTTTGTTGGGGAACTGCATCATAACATTCAAATAAGTATAAATTTTGTAAAATGGCTGTGTTTTGCTTTTCATGTTGTTTCAGAAAGTGCAAATTTCATTGATTCAACTTTTGTATGTGTACAGAATTTCTGACATGGGCAACAGGCTCACCTTTCTGTGGAACGTATAATCTAAGTACCACTTGTACTGCGTAGCCTTTGAGTCTGTCCCCACGGATGCTAGGAGCGTCACGTCTTCAGTAACATTCACTGGTTTGCAGTTCATTTTGCAGCTAGGAGGAAGGCAGGACCTGCAGTTAGCAAGCTCAAGGAACAAGCTAAGGGGAGCAAACTGTATTTGCTTACCAAATGAGCTCTGTGCTTTTGGGTGGAATGATATAATCAATGCTGTGCATCTGTGATACTCACAACCAGGATTCTCAAATGTCTACCTGTTGAAGAGATCTCCTGTTGCCTAGTTGGCTTCCCCAAGCACACCTGACCTGTCAGGGTAGCATCTTGCCATCCTTCACCCTCTCCATGCATCTAAGAAAAGAGCGTGGCTGCTGGATCCAGTGGCGTAGCATGAGTTGTCAGCACCCGGGGCAAGGCAAGTAATTTGCGCCCCCTAACCCATGGATTTGTGCCCCCTAACCCGTGGATTTGCGCCCCCTAACCTGTGGATTTGCCCTAACCCCAGATGTTGCGCCCGGTGCGGCCGGCCCCCCCTGCACCCCCCACGCTACGCCACTGGCTGGATCAGGCCAGTGGCCCATCTAGTCCAGCATCCTGTTCTCCTGGTGGCCAGCCAGATGCCCTAATGGGAAGCCTGCAAGTAGGACCTGAGCACAATGGCACTCTAGTCATTTAAGATTCCCAGCAAGTGGAATTCAGGAGCAAACTGCCTCTGACAGCTTCTGTATGAGGCTTTCACCTGACACTGTCAGAACCTCAGAGCGCAAGGAAATAAATAAAGTGCAGCACACCTGATCTGCAGGCTCAGATCCTGCTTTGCTGTAATGTAGAGGCATTGCTCATCCTGTTTTTCTTCTTTCTCTGGGCTTTTGACTGTAACTTTCACGGTCACTGCAGAGCTGGGAGGAGGTAAGCAAGCCGGTGGGATCCGGATCTCTCTTTGGTCTGTGAGGATGGAATGCTCTTGCACACATTGGTCCCATTCAGGCCAGCAGTAACCTTCAAAGGCAATTTTCAGCTGAATCACTTGAGAGAACCCAGCACCCAGTGCTGTATTTTTATATTGGACACTTTAGCCCTGTATATGCATTTTTGTACACATTGTGTGGCTGGAGAACTGCGCTGCAAAATCAGAGGTGTCAGAATGTCAAAGGGTGGCTGTGTGAATGTGTAGGTTCACCTTTAAATGTGAACTGAATCAAATGGCTCTCCCAGCCCTAAACTCGGATAAACAAACCAAACACATCAGCTCGCTTAGAACATGAGGACGTTTTCATATGCTTTGGAGAGTTCTGGTCACAATTGTAAAGGGGAGAAGGCAGTGAAACACAACATACATACCGCAAGACCAGGTGTAGGTAGAATTAGTGCTGTCATCAGGCCAGCCAAGAATGATTGTTGTGAAGAGGCTGGCATGGCGGCTGGGCTTAATGTAGATCTTGGTTTTCCCTTTGTCATCCTAAACCAGAAACGACGAAGGAAAGTAATTGTCAGAGCAGTTGCATCTTCCATGTGCAAGCAGACACAGAAAAGAGGTAACCAGAATGAACAAGGGGTTGGAGCAACTCCCCTATGAGGAAAGCCCCCCAATATCTGGGACTTTTTAGTTGGGGGGGGGAGAGTAAAAAGTGGCATGATAAACGTGTGCAAAATTATGCTTGGTGTGAATAAGATGGAGGATACCTTAATCTGGGGCTATCCAGTTAAACCAATTGGCAGGGGATTCAGGACAGACAAAATGAAGTCCTCCTTCACTCAGCACATAGTTGAAGCATGGAATTTGCTCCCACGAGAAGTGATGGCCACCAATGTGTGCCAAAAAGGGGGTTGGACAAGTTCCTGGGGGATATAGAATTACTTGACTACTAGCCAAGATGGATGTATGTTACCTCCACTGTTGGAGGTAGCCTGCTTCTTAATTCCAGCTGCTGTTTGTGAGCTTTCCAGAGGCAGCTGGTTGCCCACTGTGGGAATAGGAAGCTGGGCTAGATGGTCTGATCCAGAAGGGTCTTATTCTTAGGTGTGTTACGCTTTGGGACAGGTTTTCCTTGGTTTAAGTATCTCTCGCCTCCTTGATGTCTGGTGAAAACATTCCCTTTTTAAAATCTTGTCATGATATAAGCCATTATCAGTCCCACATTCCAGACAGGGAATGAAGGCTGGAAGAATGGACATTCCCAAGGCTCCACAGCGACTTCATAGACATGCAGGATTTTTTTAGGCATATATTTTCTTTTATTAACTGGTTTTGTTGGTTGGCTGGTTTTGTCTTTGATGCCATCCTAATAGTTTTGCTGAAGCACAGCCAAACATAAAACGTAGGCTTCAGTACTAACTCCACTTACTTGGGAGTAAGTCCCATTGAGTTCAGAAGGACTTAACTCAGAGTAAGCATAGTTAGGATTGTAGCCTCAATAAATACAGTGGCTTATACCCAACATTGGTCCTACTCCAAGTAGACCCACTGAAATTAATGGAAATGACTAACTTAGGTTTATTCATGTCACTGGATCTACTCTGAATACAACTTACTTGGATACAACCCAACAACAGCACAATCAAATGCATGCTTTGTTAGAAGTAAGTCCCACTGTGTACAATGGGGATTACCCTCAGGCAAGAGGGCATAAGGTATCAGCTTGAATAAATCCAGTGTCTTAACCATGTCATCACACTAAGAAGAAAGAAAAGCCATTCATTAATCCCTGTGAAATATTTTCAAAAGGATTTTTTCCATTATTTTCCTTCTTTCTTTTAATAGATACTCACAACTCTTTTTTCACCATGTACATTGGACTGTTCTTTGTCCTCAAGAGGATCTGTTGAACACAAAGCATAAATCAGAAGGCTTCAATAGCACCTGCAAATGCCATGCTGACCTTTTCTGTATAAATCAAGGTTATTTTTCCAGGTCTGTGTGAAAGCTACAGAGCAATTGGTAGAAATTGCTCCCCGAAGCATCACAGTGTATAAGGGTTCAGTTTGTTCATGGGAAGGAGGGAGACAGACTTCATTTATCGGGGCCTCATGCTGCCTCGTACTAAGCACCCAGCTGTTCCATCTGGTCCCATGTCTCCATTATATGGAATCTATGCACGGCCCAATGCAGAGGGGGAGGGGCAATCCTTTTCAACCAGTGTGTTGGGGGTGGGCCCTACCATAAGGCTTGAGGTGGAAACCTTTTCCAGCCTGATGGCTACATTACCTTGTTAGGAATCTTCTGTGGAGTCCACACACCAATGTGATGTATGTGTGTGCAAGAGACGGGGGGGGGGGAGGGAGAGAGAGAGAGAGAGAGAGAGAGAGAGAGAATGGGAACATTGGGAGTGTCAAATCAAACCAGACGTGAAATCAGGGATGGTTCCACGGGGATATGTTACCAACTGAAGGAGTGCTTGTTTGTTTCCCTTGTCCTCTGGTTACTGTACTTTTCCGTGTATAAGACTAGGTTTTTTTTACTTTAAATTAAGGTTAAAAATCTGGGGGCGTCTTATACACGGATAGTGCATACATATGCCCATTTTCTAAATTTGGGGTTCCCAAAAGTAGGGGGTGTCGTATACATGGGGGCGTCTTATACACGGAAAAATACAGTATGTACAGTGGTACCTCGGTTTAAGAACAGTCTGGTTTAAGAACAATTTGGTTTACAAACTCCGCAAAACCGAAAATAGCGTCTTGGTTTGAGAACTTTACCTCAGTATAAGAATGGAATCCAAACAGTGGAAGGGCACCGGCAGTGGGAGGCCTTATTAGGAAAAGCGCGCCTCGGTTTAAGAATGGTTTTGGTTTAAGAAGTCTGTGGTGCCCTCTCATCAAAAGGATACCAAATCCTATAATGCTGTTCATGTAACTTCTTACCACTTGGGAGTGGGAAGCACACAACAGCATGAATAAAATGCAAAGGAAAAGAAGACAGAAGTATAATTTAAAAAGTATGATTGCTCTTCATTTTATGAAGTCATCATTTGGCATAATCAAGAGCCTGCTATTACCTTCTTCGTGAGAACTGTTAGATGAGACGATTACAGTTCCTGCATCAGTGCTCATGTTCGAGAAGGCATTAACAGCAAACACTTTGACCTGGAAGGTACCTGGAAAGAAGACATGGGAAAAGGTGAATAAGGGCGAATAAGAAGCTGGGAACCAAAGATCCACAGAGCCAGGCAGATTAAGGGGTGAAACTTGTTAGGGCAGGTGCAAAGTCTATTGGTGCCAATCAGGGAAGTGTAGCACCTTGTAAAAAGGGGGTGGGAACATGGCTTCATGTGGCTTGATGGACAAAAAACGGAGCCAAAAATATTAGTGCAAGACAAGTCCCTTTCACCCATGATTTTATAGCAATTTGAGTGAACAAGGTGCTTTAATTTATGTGATATCTATATCTGTTATTTATTAATGTATCAGCGTAGTTCTCTTGGCAATGCACAACAATTTAGTAAAAAAAAATTATGAATTAAAACACAAATCAAATATCTCATCCCTTGGAACAGTGAAGCGGGGGGGGGGGTGTACATCAGCAGTAGAGCATCTGCTTTGCAAGCTGAGGGCTCCAATTTCAATCCCTGGTATCTCTGGGCAGCAGCGTAGCATGGGTTGGCAGCACCTGGGGCAAGGCAAGTAATTTGTGCCCCCTAACCCGTGGATTTGTGCCCCCTAACCTGTGGATTTGCGCCCCCTAACCCATGGATTTGCCCTAACCCCAGATGTTGCGCCCGGTGCGGCCGGCCCCCCCTGCACCCCCCACGCTACGCCACTGTCTCTGGGTAGGGCTGGGGAGACAATACTGTGCTAGAAGGACCAGTGGTCTGACTCATTATAAGGCAGCTTCCTATGTAACATCTGGAGGGCCACAGGTTCTCCTTTCATAAGATTAGGCTTTGGTCTCATCCAGCTGGGTTCTTCTTATCTTCCATCCCAAATACTGGTTATCTGACCAGTCTTAGGGCCAGCCTCAGTTTTTGGGGTCCCCTTGTGCCAGATGCCCCCAGTAGGTCCAGTCCTCCTCCTTGCTGTTGCTCACTTGTTGTGATGGCCTGGGATTCGGACTCGGATGCTGAACCTGAGGGATCCCAGCCTGCACAGGATTCCCCGCCTCCAGAACCAGCTGAGCCAGGGCTGGGGCTTGAGCCTGAAGGGTCCTCACCTGTGCTGGATCCTCAGGTGCAGCTGAGTCTGCTCTGGCTCCTGAGGTGATGGAGGACCCACTGCCTTTAGGTGCTCCACTCTCAGCCCCATCAGAGGAAGCTGAGGTTGCCTCTGGGTCTGGTAACCCTCCAGCCTCTTCTGAGCTGCAGAGGCTCAGGGCAGAGAGGCGGAGGGAACTAAGTTCCCGCAGGAGGAGTGCTCGCCTCCAGGCCAAGAGAGGCGAGTCACCAGAGGATCGGGGCCGCCCTATGCCTCGGGGCAGATAAAAGCCAGCCAGCCCCAGTCCCAAGTTGTGGGAGCAGCATTGTTGGTTGCTAGTTCCTGCCCGAACCCTGTCCTGCTTTCCTGCCTGACCCGCCCTGGCTCCCTGCCCTGCACCCAGCTTCAGCTACTATGGATTGCCTCCACTTTTCATCTTTGCCCATGGACCGGACTTGGACCTCGCCTCTCGGGTAACCCACGGGACCAGCACACTTGCTTTCCTTTGGCCACACAGAGGGAAAGGGGATGGGAGCTCCGCCTTCTCACCCCCATGTGGTGTATGTATGGTACACTGCAAATCCCCCCTTCCCTTCTCTTTCTCTCTCATTTTTCATACTTTTAAAAGAAGACTCATCTAGCTCAGTTACATGTTTGTGCTTTTGTGTGGAAGTACCTTCAGACTTCACTGGGATTCTGTAGGTCTCGGCTTCTCCTTCGGTGAAGTCCTTCAAGTGGGAAAAGGTCTCATTCAGCCCGGTCACCTCAAACCTCAGTTTCTCAGGAGACCCATGACGTACAGAGACTTTTATCTCCAGATCTTCTCCTAAAACCACAGAGTGGGAGCTTAATATGGCCTGAAGACCAGAGATTGCTTCGACTAAATGAACCGTCAGGATTTCCGAAACGTCTGCTTCTGTGGTGTTGCTGGACGCAACAATTTCAAGATGATGTACGCCAGGACCAATCAGCCGTTGGGATGCGCCATCCAGGGTGAGATTGTGAGGAGCGATTCCTTCCTTCACCCTGGACTCCAGCAGAGTTTTGTTATCAGCCAGCACCGTATAGGCCACTCCACTACCTGAAAAGGAAAAATGGTTTCAAAAATGTGGTGTAAATTATATTTCGTTTCGCATCCTTTTGCAAAACATTTAAAACATTTATTTTATGTACTGTATCAGTTTATTTACTGTAATACTATAGCAATGTGGTTTATTTACTTATTTGGCACCATCCATGTGCATGGCATTACAAAAGAATCAAATATAAAAATAATAAAACCGATTAAAAAGAAAGCAGAGGCAGATGTCAAACACAGCAGCACTGAAACAAGCAAAAAAAAACAATCCATCAAATTTACAGTTTTAAATGACAGAAATCAGCTACAACATGCCTTTGGGAATAAAACTGTTTTCAACACCTGTCTAAAATGGGAAGTCAATGGACCTTACCTGGTTGGAGAACCACATTTCAAAATTTGGGAAAGTGTTAATTTCAAAGGAAGACTGTGCTTTGGGACGTGTAGGGTTTAAGAAAGTCTGAATTACATGGATTTGCCTTCAAATGCAAACTGAATCAAATTTCTCCCTAAGCATGAAAGGTGTTTTGTTTTTTAAAAAGGACAATTCCAGCAGAAGTCTCTCCTATGTGCTCTGAAAGTACATTGTTCAAGCTACTATTGATCTGCAAAAGAATATATAAACAAAAACGAAGTGATGGCTCTGACCTCCATTAAGTTCCACTTGAATCCATAACACCTCTTCATAAAGAGTCCTGCAATGTGAAGTGTTCCCTACTTCATATTTGCTGAAGCACCCGGTCACCAAAAGCTCATCCATTTTGTCTTGCACGGTGATCAGTTTCTGAGCTGTGACGTGCCACTCGCTGGTTGTGCACTCCACAAAGATAGTGAATTCGCCAGGAGATGTGAAGCGATGGGTTACATTGCTAGACAGGCTTGAGGTGCATAATGGAACATGTTAGACGCAGAACAAGACAAACCTGCAACAAAATGTTGCAGCACGAGTGCTCCTGTTTAGGATTTTAGTCAACCAGCAACCACACCCTGTTCCAGGATAATCCATTCCATTCTCCAAAAATGCTCATATGTGTATTTTTCAAGTTAAATTTGCATCATTTTTGCAGCATTTAAAGCATTCATTTCATTCTTTTGCTGTGGCATTGGGAAGCCTTGCTCTCTCTTCTACCTAGAACAGTGTGTTTTAGTCTGAGAGCCAGGGGGCAACCACTGACCCTCAGTCCACTTTCAGGTGGGCTGCAGCACTGCTTGTGCTGTGGCCTTTGGGATGAGATGAACTGATGCCAGCACCACACCTGGCACAAGCAGAATGCAGGCCAGGGCCGTCTTACCTATAAGAGCTAGGGTGTGGGGCACCTGGGTCTCAGTGCTCTCAGGGGCACCAGGACGAGAGTCCGGGGCCTGAGAGTTGAGTTTGGGGAAGAGCCCACCCGTCGGTCGGAGTGCCGCGGCGGGCTCTTCTGCGGGCAGCTCTGCGCCACAAGTTCGGGGGCAACCGAGCCAGTGAGATGCTGAGGCGGCTGGCCAGCTTGGCCCTCCTGAGCGCCTGGGACTGGGCAACCTGGGGGGGACGACCAGGCAGATCTTTGCACCCCGGCGCTGCATACGCTTAAGACAGCCCTGATGCAGGCATATGTGGGAGCCCCTCAGAGCAGTGGCGTAGCGTGGGTTGTCAGCACCCGGGGCAAGGCAAGTAATTTGCGCCCCCTAACCCGTGGATTTGCGCCCCCTAACCTGTAGATTTGCCCTAACCCCAGATGTTGCGCCCGGTGCGGCCGGCCCCCCCTGCATCCCCCACGCTACACCACTGCCTCAGAGACATGAGATATAGCATGCTGTAGCACGCAGAGCTAGAGGGGAATGAAAGAGAGGAAATGGATAGCAGACAAGCAGAGAAGCCAGAGAAGTGTGAGAGAAGAAAATGGAAGAGTGGGAAGGAGGGAGGTGAATGGGTCAGGCAGACCAAGGCAGAGGAAAAGGAGAGCTGTTTGGAGCTGCTACTGCACCTTCTGGCCCCTCCACTTCACACTCACACCCCAGTCATCCTTTTTTCCAGCCCCTTCACTTTATACCCTTCTGATGTTCCAGGGGCTGCATGCTGGGGGTGGGGGTGGCCAGAAGCAAATGTGGGCAGAGCAATGGAAGGGACTCTTACTTTGTACAGGAGGCTACATTACAGCCATGCAAAAGCAAGATGTCTCAACAAACACACACCATTCCATTTGCATCCGGGCAAGGAAGATGAGGTCTGACAGCTCAAAGACACATCCCAGTCAGACGTAAGATCTGGGGTGATGGGGAGAGTCTCGCGAACCAGCTGGGTAGTCCTTAAGGGATTCAGTCCCCAAGTGTGAGGTTCTGCTCTCCTGATTTGCGGCATCACTGGCAACTTGAAAGGTGTCTTCAATCATCACCATCATCAAATAAGAAAGCAACAAAGCCTTCACTTCCTCATCGCCTGGCTGCAAAAACTTAGACTTACGTTGGAGGGTAGTATGGATCAATAGTGTTTCCGTCTCCGGTGCTAATGATGCAGGAGAGATTGCCAGAATAAGGAGAGAGGAGCCACTTCACTGATATGGTGATGTTTTCAAAGATAAAGCTTTCCTCCGTCACAGCCAGTCGCAAGCCTGTAAAATAGTGCACAGAATAATAGCACCTCTCTGCATCCTTGGAGAGGTCATGCGGGTGAAATTGAAATCAGGCTGCACTGGTCCATCTAGGTGCAAGCTGGTCACTGGGAGATGCTTCTCAGCCTGCTGATGGTACCTGTGCGTGTGGGTGGAGAAAGTGCTGCTGCTTACCTTCCATGCAGTGGTATTGAACAGACAGGTAGCTTCCCAAACTTGGACAAGGATCTCCAAAGAAGGTCCCATCAGCTGCCACCTGGCATGCTTGGAGTCCATGGCACTGCCCTGCAAGGTTTGATGCAATAGCATGTCATTTTCGCTAATATAATGATGTTCAATGTACACTTTACCACAATGTGTGCATTTTATATGCATTACTTGGCTAGAGAACAGGATTGCAAAACTTGGAGAAGTGTGGATTTTGAAGGTTGGCTGCGTTTCACTTAGCGCCTTGCTTCGCCACATAGATTTGCCTTTAAATGCACACTGAATCAATTTTCTCCCCCATCTGTGTTCAAAGACTGAAGTCCCCTAAGCCTTACCTGCAACTTCATCCTTTACACTTATCCAGCTACATTCCTCTTCGACATCAAACTGTAGGGGAGTCTCTAGCACACAGAAGTGAGGTGTTTTCCGTCCATAGAAGCTTTCTCCAATCTGAATTACTTCTCCTGAGCCACACTGCACTGTGGCATTGAAGTTGTCGCAGGCAATGCTGTGGCCTGATTCTGTGCACGCATACAAGAAACACCATGAGTGTGTGGCATTGTTGGATAAAGACACAGTCCACTTAAAAGCAAGTATACGTAAGGCCATCACCATTAAAACAAACATACATAGAACCATCATCATTAAAAACAAAGATAGTTTTAAAATAGTTCTCTGAGGGATTGTGGAAATTTAAACGGGTTGCTCCAAGCTGACCATTTTAAAAAATGCATACAATCCTGGAGAAAAGCATGCTAGCATTATTTTTCCTCTCAACCCTTCCCTGCCCCAGACGACTAATCCCACTTTTCCCAAAAAGTTGAATGGGAATTTCATAGAGTTGAGAGCACTTCCAGAATGATCCTCCAGGTGGCATGAATAAGATTCAGAAAAGAACCAGGAGAGAAAATTCTAGCAACCACGAGTGAGATCTGCAACAAGATGTTGCAGTGTAAAATGCAAAAAACCTTTTTCAGGATGCCTCATCCCACATCCCCTGCAGCCCCTGATTTGGGTGAGGGGTTCTTCAGAAATCATCCAAGTGGCCACTGACCAAGCTCACTGAATGGGACTCCATCCTTCTTTTGTGCTTCTCCAAGCCCCCAAGGACACCTGAGCATGCTGAAATGGCCCTGATTTGGCCCATTGCTGCTGGCACTCCCCACTTAAGTTCATTATTGGAGAAAATGAGAGCATGGTATTGTGCACACACTGAAACTGCTAATAAACATATTTCAGGGAATAGCACTAATCAAGCGAGCTATAAATATACATTCTCAAATGCATGGGTTAGGGTGCATTACACAGGACAGCCTTCTATTTTAAGTGTCCTATGTTACACCTATAATTATAAATAAGCATATGTGTTTTGCTGCAGATCTGTGTTCTGTGCAAATCTTATTTTTTAACTCTTTTGGGGTGATGTGTGGTACAAGTAGTTACGCTTAAGTTCAGTTCAGGACCTCTTACCAAACTCGCAAATAAAGTCAAACTCCTGGCTGCAGTTCTCTGTTACACCCCAGTCATAGCCAGTGTTTTTCAGGATATAGCCACATGACGATGAGAGAACGGAAGGCAGGTCTTGGTGCCACTTGCTGTAGGTGATATTCGAGGTATCGAGCCAAACCATGGACCCTGCATGGAAGGAAGCTGCATCGTGAGTGCACATGCCCCTCCTACTTGAACAACTGGGATGAGTGAATCTGCCAATTTATGTTTCTTTCGGTTGCTCCTTTTTCCAGTCCTGAATTCAGTTTAGCACATTTCTGCACGAGTTTGAAATTTTTAAAAAATCACAAAAATTGGTCAGCTTTTTAGTGCACTTTTCCTAGAAAGCAATTTTCCTCAATATAATGCATTTTTGTATGTTATCTTCACTGTTATATGCATTTTTTGGGGGGGGGGTTCTTTTCAATTTTAAAATTCAACCATTAAAACCAGAAATTTGCCTTAAGAAAATAAGAGGGAAATGGAAATATACAGTATTCTGCATTTTCCATTAGTTAGATATTGATTGTGGGAGGTGGTCACATTTTTGCATATCTTATGGGTTCAGCTCATATAGGACTATGTCGCCGGGACTCAGCTGGCTAATATTTCATCAGTAGTACAGTGAAAAAAATCTTAGCATAATTTAATCCACTGACATCCAGCATGCTTGTTTATTACATTTTTACTCCACCTTTCTTCCAAGGATCTCAAGATAGCAACAATACAATCTCCTCAGCCCTTATTTTATCCTCAAAACAAACCTGTGAGGAAGGCTAGGCTGAAAGAGTGTGACTGGCTGCCCCAAGGCAACCCAACAAGCTTCATGGCTGAACAGAGATAGGAACCAGCGTCTCCACAGTCTTGGTTTGGTACACTAACTAACCAAGGTGTAGCCAACCATGGTGTTCTCCAAATTATAGAATCATAGAGTTGGAAGGGACCTCAAGGGTCATCTAGTCCAACCCCCTGCAGCCTGGCCAAGGGCCAAGGGTCATGAGAATGTAATCCAGCAACATCTGGAGGATCCCACATTGGCTACCCCTGCTCTAACCTCTACACTGGGAGTGAAAAACCTATGGCCCTGAATATGTTGTCAGACTCCAAATCCCATCAGTCCCAGCCAGCATGGCCAATAGTTAGGGATTATGGGAGTTGTAGTCCAGCAGCATCTTTAGGACCACGGGTTCCCCACCCCTGCACCACACTATGCTAACATGTCCCCCCCGCTCAACATTTCACAAAACAGGGATTCTATTTTTCCCTACCTTCAGTAGTTTCATTGGAGGAAGAACTGTAGGTTATGCCGATCCACCATTCGTTGTCCTCAGAGATGTGCTCCTGCAGAAACATCTGGGTTTCTTCATTTTCAATGAAGACCAGGTGGCCCCCTCCTCTCTCACACCAGCTCTGGGCACTCGTGAAAGTGCGCTGGAGCCTCACAAACTCATAGCATGAGCTATTGAAAGCCACTTGGTATTTTGAACATGGTATACCCTCCACGAGGGAGAAATCCTCTGCAGTAGAACTGACGACAAGAGGGATGATGAAGCTTAGGATGAGGAGCTTCATGTTCGATTCAGCAGCTTACCAAGTCCTGTTTTGGGGACCGATGCAGCCCACCACTCTTTTTGACCTTTTCTGCAGATATTTGGGGTGTCATTCTACTCTGGCATATGCTCTTCTCGCCTCAACCTTCCCTTCCCTGGACAATACTAGCAATGGCTCTGTGGAATAGCTTGCTCCCAATAAACAAAGGTTATTGCACAGGGGAAAACGTTTTTTTTCTTAATGCCAAGATGTGCCAATGGATATGAGACAGGCCATTGTACAATTGTTCAAATAAAGACGGTATACACAGTGGGCTTTAATTTATAGCCTTTCATGTGAGTAGAGAAGATTACTTTGATATATACACCCACTGGACATATGGCAACCAAAGATAAAGGACCCTGTAAAAGAAGCTATTGTACCTTAGCAGCTGGGCATTCAACCTCAAAATAACCATTTAGAAACTCAGAAAGCTGGTGCACCATAATAATCAGACAGAAATTCTGTATGTGCAATGAAACATTGGAGTTGTGTTTTTCCATTCAGTATGTGAACCAGGACAATCACTAGAGAAGGGTGCATCCATCCATGTTGGTTTCCTGTTGTTTTTTTCTCAATTAATATCAGCTTTCCACATTTCCACATTGGTTTACAATTTTATTTATTTTGAAGACCTCATGAAAATTCATCAGCATTTCAGTGCGAATTTCTCATGAAATATACATTTTTATATGCAATTTTGCCTAATATTTTCCGTGATATTTTCACTATCAATGCTTATGCACACTTCACCCCAGGATATGCATTTTTGTTTTATTTTATAATATTTTTATTGGTTTTTACACATATTTTCCAGCATATCATTCTTTTAAACATCATTTCAAAATCTTTGGCTATCACAGCCTAAGATTTCCCAGAAGTTCTTAACTTTCTTACATTCCCACCACATATGGTAAAAAGTACGCTCCTTTTCTTTACACAGTATATGCATTTTTGTACATATTACCTGGGTGAAGACCTGCACGGAAAAATTCAGAGAAGTGTGGGTTTTGAGAGACGGCTGCAATAAGCTTATTCTGCAGGCTTTGCTTGATGGACTGGGGGAAAGACAATTTCCCCCCCTGATCCCAGTTATAAATGTGGTAGAGATGTATTGGCCAGTGCCCATGAAATTACCAGCACCAGTGAGGAACTAGACAGTCCATCAAACGCATAAGGAGAGGGATAAAATTCAGTTGTCAACCCAACATTCAACTTGTGTATGTGTGGGTTTTTTGTTTTTTTATATATATAAAAACTTTGCTTTTGATTACCAATAAGATTATTTTCAAAAGATGGACTCACACTGAGACAGGAAATGTATCATGCTATATGGCTTTCAGCCTCTGACATACTGGTACTGGCAAGTACTGGTATTTACAATAAATACTCTGACCTTGCCTTGATAACTAGCCTAGTGGTTGTTATGCTTTTTACCAGACCTGTCATGCTAACAGAACATGCTTCTGTGATGCTAAGCTCTCATAATGTCTTTATAGCTGTGATGCTCCTAACCAGTTTCGCAGCTGGCAACTTAGGTGGGACTGCTAAATGCTTGATCAGCCTTCTGTGATTATCATAATGCAATGTCTGCTGAGGGATGGAATCAAGGCCTGCTGCACAGACACCCCAGAGTCTAACTCTGCAGAAGCCTAAATCTACCCTAATTGAGCTTGCATGGGTACATCTATCATGGGTCATGCTTCCCTTCATTTCTCTAGCTTTCCAAAATTTAGAATATACGATCACTGGAGCACCAAAAATTAGGGAAGAGGCAGGATGGTGGCCATTAGTCAGCACTGCCATTTTTTTGGTGGCAAATCTTATTTTCTTCTCAGAATATCCTGGAATGAGAAAATGTCCAAGATATTCTGGAAAACTAAAATTATGGCCCCTGGGAGCCAACAACTAAAAGAAGCTTTCCATACCCAAAGGATTCATAACTGAGATCCTTTTTTTCATATTACATATGTCTCTATCCTTTCAAGAAATCACCCCCTTTGATATGCAACTGTGTGAGTTGACTCTTACACAGAACGAGCATTTTTTCAGGACGTAACACCTGCTGATCTGAAATCATTTACTCCAAATAGTCCCAAAGAAATTGTCCCAGGATGGTGCCTCATTCCCCACAAGTTCTTATTATACTTTACAGCCTCTTGGCTCATGGTATAGACTGCCCTCAATGGAAGGACTGTCTCACGCCACCCCATTCCAGCCAGCTCAAAAGGGCATAAGAGGACAAAGGGACTTTAAGGTAAAGCATTATATTGTAAGTCACATCACAGTACACAGGCATGCATTGTTTAGCTGGTGGACTCCTGGTATGTTTTTCATTATGTTCCCTTAGCCAGAAGGGGCCATAGCTCAGTGGCAGAACACACGCTTTGCATACATAAATGTTTTGTGTCAGCTCCTGGTGTATCATGTAGGTTGTGAAAAACACAAAGGAGAAACACTCCTGGTCTGAGATGTCAAGGAAGAAGTCCTGGACAGACTCCATTTAAGGCAGCTTCATATGTTCCATATGTTCCTGGAGGCAGGCAAATGTTGTCTCCATCTTCAAAATGGGGGGAAAGAAGACCCAGGTAACTACCGACTGGCCAGCTTGATGCTGATACCAGAAAAGGTCTAGAACAGCTAATTAAACAATTGGTGTGTGAGCACTTAGAAAAGGATTTTGTGATTACTAAGACCCAGAATGGGTTTCTCAAAATCAAGTTGTGGCAGACGAATCTCATTTCTTTGACAGAGTTACTAGCTTGATGGATCAGGGGGATGCTGTAGGCATAGTGTATCTTGATTTCAGTATGGTTTTTGACAAAATCCCTCATGATAGTATTGCTGAGAAGCTGGTAAAATGTGGGCTGGACAAGATAACTGTTAGGTGGATTTGTAGCTGTTTGACTGGCCGAACCCAAAGAGTGCTCATTAATGGATGCTCATAATCCTGGAAAAAAGTGACAAGTGGGATGCCACAGGGTTCTGTCCTGGGCTTGTTGTTATTCAACATCTTTATAAATGACTTGGGTGAAGGAATTGAGGGGATGTTAATCAATCTGACACCAAACTGGGAGGGGTAGCTAATGCTGCAGAAGACAGAATCAGGATTCAAGATGTTTAGCTTGGTAAAGAGGAGACTGAGAGGAAATATGATAGCTGCCTTCAGATATCTAAAGGGCTGTTACATAGAGGATTGAGCAAGCTTGTTTTCTCCTGCTCTGGAGGATAGGACCTGAACCAATGGATACAAGTTACAAGGAAGGAGATGCCAATGAAACATCAGAAAGTACTTTCTGGTGGTAAGAGCTGTTTGACAGTGGAATGGACTCCCTTGGAAGGTGGTGGACACTCCTTCATTGGAGGTTTTTAAACAGAGGTTGGATGGCCATCTGTCATGGATGCTTTAGTTGAGATTACTGCATTGCAGGTGTTTGGGCTAGATGACCTTCAGGGTTACTTCCAGCTCTACAGTTTTATGATTCTGTTATTCTACCAACCATTAGCCACACCATCCCTGAACGTTGGGCATGTTGGCAGAGGCCGATGAGAGTTGTTGCTCTTGTTTTTCTTGTAGGAGAACAGTCATAGCTCAGTGGTTGAGCTCAGTGGTTGAGCCTTGCAGGTAAAACTCCCCTGCAGTGCTAGTGTTGACAGTTCAGAGCTAGAAAACCTAACTTGATATAAGGCAGCTTCCTATATCCCTCTGTGCAAAAGTGGGCAATATTTGTGGTTCCCCATGCCCCCAGATGATGTTTAGTTACAACTCCCACCATCCTTTACCATTGGGCATGTTGACTTGGGCTGATGGGAGTTGAAGTTGAACAATAGAAGGAATGCACCACTTTCTAAAATATTGACAGATGCCAAAGAAAGAGGGGGGTTTGCCCTGCCGGACTTAAAATTGTATTATGAGGCAGCAGCTTTTTGCTGGCTGAAGGACTGGATGCTCCTCGAGAACACAGACATTTTGGATCTGGAAGGTTTTAACAATGTTTTTGGCTGGCATGCATATCTATGGTATGACAAAAGTAAGCAGCATAGTGCCTTTAAAAATCACATTGTTAGAAAAGCATTGTTTAATGTATGGATGAGATATAAAGATCTCTTGGAAAACAAAACCCCTAGATGGGTGTCACCAGTCGAGGCTAAAGCAGTAAAGAAACTCAATATGGAGGTCGGATGGCCGAAGTATTGGGAAATTTTGGAACAGGATGGAGATAAGTGGAAATTACAAAGCTATGACAAATTGAAACATAAAGTACAAAACTGGCTTCAATATTATCAAATAATGGAGCTTTTCAAACAGGACAGGAAAATTGGCTTTCAGATGGAAAAATCAAAACTAGAGATTGAACTGTTAGAACCCAACACTAAGAATTTATCAAGAATGTATAACTTGTTGTTGAAATGGAATACACAGGATGAAACGGTGAAATCAGCCATGATTAAATGGGCACAAGATATTGGTCATGACATTATGTTTGCTGACTGGGAACAGTTATGGACCACCGGTGTTAAGTTTACGGCATGTAATGCCTTAAGAGAAAACATAATGAAAATGATTTACAGGTGGTACATGACCCCAGTCAAGCTGGCAAAAATCTATCATCTGCCCGATAACAAATGTTGGAAGTGTAAAGAGACTGAAGGTACCTTCTACCACCTTTGGTGGACATGCCCGAAGATTAAGGCCTTCTGGGAAATGATCTATAATGAAATCAAAAAGGTGCTTAAATGTACCTTTCCTAAAAAACCAGAGGCCTTTCTCTTGGGCATTGTCGGCCAATTGGTGACAAAGAGGGATAGAACTTTCTTCATGTACGCTACAACAGCAGCAAGAATACTCATCGCAAAGTATTGGAAGACACAAGATCTACCCACTCTGGAAGAATGGCAGATGAAAGTGATGGACTATATGACATTGGCCGAGATGACAGGCAGAATCCGTGACCAACGAAAAGAGACGGTGGAAGAAGAATGGAGAAAATTTAAAAGTTATCTTAAGGACTACTATAAACTTAATGAATGCTAAAATGTTGTGGTTTCCAGAAACAAAGGGATACAGGGATATAAGGTTAGAAATATAAAAGAGGACTAAGAT